TTATTAGAGTGTTCATGTTAGTATTTGTAGATGGTTAATATTACATTATTAAAGTCATGTTAGTATTTGTAGATTGTTAATATTGTAATATATTTTTTATATTAACAGGAACATCAAGCCAGTCGACCAATGAAGAAAAAGTATGTAAAACCTATTTCTAATTTCATCTGTTATGGAGACGATGTGTATTCAAAAATATTCAAAATTCTTAAAGATATATCTCCTTGAGCATAAATAGGTCATGGACGTTTGGAAATATGAATATAAATAAACAAAAGTTTATTAAAGCGCAACTTACATTTGTGATATAATTACCCGATCTGATTAAAACACAGATCCTATTTTATTTCGTTTTTTTTATAGTTCAAAATTTCGTTAAACAGATTTCAATATGATTATATAATCTATCTTTGCTATGGTTGATCCTTACCCACAAAATACATTCGGAAAAGACGCAGAAGTAAGAAATTAGTTGATGCTACGAACTGAATTTAATAGTAGCGTGGTCCCCGCTACACACACGATGTTCAGCTCATTGGCTGTTGGACATAAGCCAGGTCGTCTCGAGGCTTATATATGGTGCAATTTCATTTCAATCATTCGCTTGCGCGTAGGTATCTTTAGGAGTGAGCGAAAACACTAGGACTCGGAGAAACCCCACGATCCTTCTTCTTGCCACGTACATATGTCTAGTGGAAACCACTACACTCAATTACAGACTATATGATTTAAAGCGCGCGCGTTAGACCACTCTACACCGACATATTCGTTTAAACCGACAATGCGCTAAGATTTAGTATGATTTATATAACCGTCTTTGCATTCTGAAGCTTTCTACATTTGGGGTGGGGGTTGGATGGTCGAATGGTTAACGCGTGCGTGCTGTGTCATAAGTTCTGTCATTGAGTCAACTGGCGTGGTTTCGATTCCCCGGTTGTTCTTGACAAAGAGTAGGGTTGTTCGTCTAACCTCGTGCGTTTTCTTCGGGTCCCACGCCCCCCCCCCCCCCACTGCTAAAGACCCTTACTTGCAAGTGAATTATTGAAATAAAATTGAACCGAAATGACGTAGTTTGTGTTGAGTGGACATTAAACCCCATTTTTCTCTCTGTGTCTCTCTTTCTACGTTTGTCCAAAGGAAAATAATACTAATCAAACGATTGGTGAACAGTTACATCAATAAATGATTGTTTATTTTAACCATGTGATATTCTTGTACATATATTGATGGGGTATATTTCCGTCGTCATTAGCCCAGCCGGTGCAGAAAGAAAAGGAGGCCGTTATATGAATACCATTTCATTTTATTTCATTTTAATTAATAGCGTATAAATCTAATTTCTTTGTTTTAATTTCTTTTCAGATATTCACCTAGCTATCTCTGTTATTCATATTTAGCAGACTCAAATCACATACGACGTCAACGATCTTTCACCAAATTAAACAAACAACGTTTCGCGAATAAGAACAAAACGCAGAAAAAGAAAGTAGTTTCAAAGGGTGTGAAAACAAATAGCAAAACTTAAGCCCCATTTTCTAGAAGCACATACTGTAAAAATCTATTTGCTTTTTGGCGGGATATGTTTAATATTTGTCTGCTTTTTATTCCACCAGAACAAACTGCAGAAAAAAAAGTAGATCTAAAGGGTGTGGAAACAAATAGCAAAACTTAAGCCCCATTTTCTAGAAGCCCATAATATAAAAAATATATTTGCTTTTTGGCGGGATATGTTTAATATTTGTCTGTTTTATATTCCACGAGAACAATATGCAGAAAAAAAGTAGATCTAAAGGGTGTGAAAACAACTAGCAAAACTTAAGCCCCATTTTCTAGAAGCCCATAATATAAAAAATATTTGTCTGTTTTATATTCCACGAGAACAAAATGCAGAAAAAAAGTAGATCTAAAGGGTGTGAAAACAAATTGCAAAAACTTAAGCCTCATTTTCTAGAGGACCATATTGTAAGTGTAAAAATGTATTTGCTTTTTGGCGGGATATCTGTTTTATAGAGGAGGAAACCGATTGACGCTTTTAGCGTATCCTATTAATCGACAACAAGAACCGAAAACAGCGCTTATAGATATTTTATAGATATACATATTCAGCACACCTTATCCAAATTTTAAATGATTTTAAAGAAGCTTGACAAAATTGTGGATTGGGTAAATTTGCCCTATTTTTAATTATCCATATTTTAATTTATAAAGTTTAATTTAACAGCGATTATTTCTACGGAATGATTGAAAAGGATTATGATAATATAGGATTTTATAATTTATAAGTTTAACTGTGATTATGGTAATATTGAAAAGGATTATAATAATATAGTATTTTATAATTGATAAAGTTAAATTCAACGGTGAATAATTTCTACAGTATTATTTAGAAAGATTATAATAATATAGTATTTTATGATTTATGGATTTTAATTTAACAGTAACCATTTCTACGGTATAATTGAAAAGGATTATAAAAATATAGCATTTTATAATTTATTAAGTTTAATTTAACGGTGAATAAATTCTACAGTATTATTTAGAAAGATTATATTAATTTTATTTAGTATGATATATTTTATATGATTTAATTTAACGGTGAATAATTTGTAGAGTATTAATTACAACGATTACATTATTTTTACATAGCGTTATATAATTTATAAAAATTAATTTAACTGTTATTAGTTTTTTATAGTTTGTGTTTTTGGTAATGTAAAAGTATTTATAAAGATTATTTATGCCTGTGAGTATTTTCTACAGTATTATTATGTTTTATTTTGTAGTTTCAGAATATTTATTAAGTTTAATTTAACCGTGATTTTTTTATTAGTAATGTAAAAGTATTTAAAAGATTATTTTTCATGCAATTATTTTCTATGGTATATTTTATTTGGTAATTTCAAAGTTTAATTTAATCGCGATTGGTTTTTTTATTGGTAATGTAAACGTATTTATAAAAATTATTTTTTCTGCAATTATTTTCTATAGTATATTTTATTTGGTAATTTCAAAGTATTTATTAAGTTTGATTTAACCGTGATTGTTTTTTTTTTGTATTGGTAATGTAAAAGTATTTAAGAAGATTATTTTTCCTGCAATTATTTTCTATGGTATATTTTATTTGGTAATTTCAAAGTATTTATTAAGTTTGATTTAACCGTGATTGTTTTTTTTTGTATTGGTAATGTAAAAGTATTTAAGAAGATTATTTTTCCTGCAATTATTTTCTATACTATTATTATCTTTTATTTGATAATTTCAAAATATTTATTAAGTTTAGTTTAACCGTGATTTTTTTTATAGTATTATATTTTTTTGTTGTTTTTTGTTGGTAATTTAAAAATATTTATAAAGTTTTATTTATTTCACGTATGCTATTTCTTTGATTGGTAATTAAAATGTGGGTTTCACGTAAGCCCAACGTAAGCCCAGGGAAACCACGAGGCCGGGAAGACATCATTAGAGACTTTTGGCAAGCGGAATTTTTCTCAACGTATTGTCACGTGATACGTTGCGTCAATGTCGTTTGAGAGTTTGGGCAGATTTTCGCACCGCGTACGTATGGGTAGCTAAGCTGAGCTTAGTTCTATTACATCCAGCCACTTTTGAGTAAAAAATAGGTTACGTGCCCTTGTTTTGAAATTAGTCTCGCTTAACCAGTCTACCGACCATTCTCCGTCTGAGTGACAGGCCGGGACACTCAACATTTGTTTTAAGAGCCCTGTAAAAGTAAAATGAAACTACTGCTAAATTCATGTTCTTGCCTAACCCAAGTGTTTCAGAGATATTATTTGTACTAAACCAAAAGTTGCGCTCCTAATGGTATTGCTAATGATAACGCAATTTTAAAAATAAAACGAATGTAATTTCTATAGCTGCTGTACTAACCCAAAAGCTAAATATTACTGCTATTCAGAATCGTCAACAATAGATTTTGTACGGCTGTAATAGTTGATAGATGTGTTGAGAATTTAACGTGCGATTCCTATTTATTATAGACTCATAGACTCTTATGTTGAGTGTTATTGCACTGCGTGATCAGCCAGAAATCACTTCGAGACAAGCCACTGAAGCGTGTCGGGTTCAACTTTCTGTAGGAAAATTCTCGCTGCAAGGGGCACCCTACTAATAGCCTTTTTCTTTGCAACGTCCGGGCTAATGATAACGGGCATACGCTGTGCAGTTTGATGTGACTTGCAACACAAAGCACACGGTGTTCACCTTTCAAAACTCCCCGTACCGTCAGATGCCCTGGACAAGACTGTAAAATTTATATTTTTAAACCGGGTTTATTCTTGCCACTGGCGAATGACTATGTTCGAACTGGTAAAGCGCCATAGAAACTGGGGGTTTGATGGACGAATGGTTAGCCATGCGCGTTGTACCATAAGGTCTGTCATTTAGTCAACTGGCGTGGTTTCGATTCCTCAGTTGTACGTGGCATGGAGTGTGGTCGCCTGTCCGACCTCGTGGGTCTACTCCGGGTCCTCCGGTTTCCTCTCTCTGCTAAACATTGAGTCGACTGTCGTGGTTTCGAATCCCCGGTTGTACGTGGCAAGGTGTAGGGTCGCCTGTCCAACCTCGTGGGTTTTCTCCGGGTCCTCCGGTTTCCTCCCACTGCTAAAGACCCCTACGCGCAAGCGAATTATTGAAATAAAATTGAACCAAATGTTAGTCCCGAAAAGATCTAGTTTGTGTCGAGTGGACGTTACCCTCTCTCTCTCTCTCTCTCTCTCTCTCTCTCTCTCTCTCTTTGGTTGAACTGTGGGATTTGTACACCCAGCATTTCACATATGTCCTTACTCTACCGACAACTCGAGGATGATGCGTTTCACAATGGTTTCCCCAGCCACCTAGTTCCTTTGTCATTCCATGTAATTGGGTTAAATTCCCAGACGTTGAGTGATAGTACTGAAATTGGGTTTAACTTTCTACTTTTCTGCATTGACAGGGACAATGGAAATAAATTTCATAATTATTATAAAAAAACACACAAATAATTATGTAGAACGTGTTTTAATATTAGAAATAAAACAATACTATCGAATATTATAAATAAAACAATACTACCATAATAAACTAACAAATTTAATAATCAATATAAAATAATAAATAAAATAACAGTTCAATATTTTAAATATTCATAATATACTTATTAATGTAATCATTAAAATAAAACAAATGATAACCATTCAATACTAAAAATAAAACAATACTACCGTAATTTACTTATAAAATTATAAAATGATAACAGTTCACTATTCTAAAAGAATATACTTATTTATGTAATCATAACAATAAAATTAATAAAATAATAATGTAGAAGAATGATAACCGTTTAATATTATAAATCTAACCGAAAATGACGTTAGCCCTAACCTTGATCGACAACTATTTGTAATATTAATTCTATCCTACTCGATATACAAACTAATGTTTTGCGGTCTAGGAAACGGGGTTAAAGGCTTACAATGTATTTGTGACATCCTCGGCATCTGTTTTTGTTTTCTTGGTCTTTTTCTTTTTCGATTTCCTAAAAACTGCTAGACGTTGTAAGCGCTGATATTCGGCCAGGTTTGAAAAACACAGCGAACTGTGTAAAAGTCTGAAAGTAAAATATAGTAACACTACGAAATGAGGACCACGCCCTACGCGCAGGCGAATTATTGAAATAAAATTGAAGTATATTATGTTAGTTCCGAAATGACCTAGTTTGTGTCGAGGCGCCATTTCCGGACTATTCAAATCACGACTACGAATCAACAGATCTTTATGTTAAAATTCTATTTATGATATGTTTAACTTGCTCTATAACAAATTATATTTAGGATCTGTTTAACTTGCTCTATAACGAATTATATTTAGGATCTGCTTAACTTGCTCTATGGTAAAATTCTATTAAGGATATATTTAACTTGCTCTATAACACAATATATTAAGGATCTGTTTAACTTGTTCTATAATAAATTATATTATTATAACTTGTTAACATACTTCGAGCTCTCGACTCCATTACAAATATCACACTTTCAGATAAACCTAAGTGAAACTAATGACGTTATTATTCCCAATTTATATACTTAGAAAAGTTTTTATTCATTGGAATTTTAAGTAAGTTTTACATACTTATTCTTGGCTTGTCCCCTGTATGGAAGATAGGTTGGGAGATCATTATATAGGTAGTCATCATCATAATCATCATCCTGCTAATGTGAAATATTGTAAAAATGTACTACATTATTAACAATCTAAATATATTTACATATTTTGGGGCCCCGCCATTTTATTCCGGCATAGTAATCTTGTTAATGATAATGCTTGTTAATGATGAACAGCTTCTTCAACTATTTAGCGAAAACAACTATGTAGCACAACTAACCCCATTTTCAATAGAAGGTTTGATCTCGCTTTAACTACGTACCTCTTATCAAGTCCTTCACGTAATACCCTGCATATTTCGGTACTAATTTCGATTGGGTATTCACCCAGCTTGAGAGCCTATCAGATTCCCCGATTATCGCGAATACTATGTCTCGCGCTTTCCAGCTAAAATGTCCACATGTGATAATCGAGTTGCAAAGTTCAAGGTTCGTTCAATGATCACGTGTCTGCAAATAACGTAGCTTTAAGTTTGAGAATTTTAAAGTAATCTAATTGTTTACGATATCACCCCCGCTAGAAGTGGACGTTAAACTCCAGAAACAAACGAGTAATCTAGCAACATCCAGATGTTGTAAAACTCGCAGTCGTTGCTTCAGGAACATGAACTTACCCGCTCCCCAAATATCATTATCAACTCAAGGTTTGACATTGAAAAGAACAACCCGTCGTTAGTATAGGTGATATAATGATAACAAGCCAACAGTGAGGCTGATGTCCCCCGCCGAAATAGGAAAATAATTAGAGGACACATATAAATTTATCACAAATAAGCGGAACGGACAGACAGACAAACAGACAGACGGACGAACCCATTTTAATAGTTCCCTGCTTTCTTCGAAAGGCGGGGGACAATCAAAGTAGGAGAGTTATTGTTTTCCAAAGTCTCGACCAATCAAATTGCGTATCGCTCTGCTTACCCTGAGCAGAAAATGCTCATTATCAAACTTAGTCAAGGTATTACTGTAATGAAACTATACACCAAGTTTCATCAATCTCACTTAATTAGAACTAAAGTTATCGTGTCCCAAAGCATCAACCAATCAAATTGCTTATCTCTGCTTACCCTAAGCGGAAAATGCTCATCTTCGAACTCCATCAAGGCATTGACCTAATCAACACATACACCAAGTTTGAACATTCTAGCTCAATTAGGAAGAGAGTTATCGTGCCCCAAAGTATCAACCAATCAAATTGCTTATCTCTGCTTACCCTAAGCGGAAAATGCTTATCTTCGAACTCCATCAAGGCATTGACCTAATAAACACATACACCAAGTTTGAACATTCTAGCTCAATTAAAAGTTATCGTGTCCCAAAGCATCAACCAATCAAATTGCTTATCTCTGCTTACCCTAAGCGGAAAATGCTCATCTTCGAACTCCATCAAGGCATTGACCTAATCAACACATACACCAAGTTTGAACATTCTAGCCCAATTAGGAAGAGAGTTATCGTGTCCCAAAGCATCAACCAATCAAATTGCTTATCTCTGCTTACCCTAAGCGGAAAATGCTCATCTTCGAACTCCATCAAGGCATTGGCCTAATAAACACATACACGAAGTTTGAACATTCTAGCTCAAATAGGAAGAGAGTGTGACGGACAGACAGACGGACGGACGGACGGACGGACAGACAGACGAACCCATTTTAATAGTCCCCTGCTTTCTTCGAAAGGCGGGGGACAAAAAAACCCAACACAACCACTAACCGAACTACGCAATCTGTAAATTACGTAATCATAATCGAGATACCATATTTCAAAATGTATTTTACCTCTGGTATTTCTGGTGTAACTGTTTTTGGTTGTCTGTCGGACGATTTCTGTCCCGCTTCTATCTGTACAATTAAAGCAACGATTAATGCGATGATGAAGAATTGTTAAATATCATTTGTGTAGTGTAGTCAACATTAACCCTTACCGGGCAAAGTGGGACAAACTTTGTGTTGAGTACAGGATTCTGAATTGATACGAGTGACTGGAGTTCGTACATTGATCGACTTTTGGCTAAAGGTTTGTCATATAGCCTTTTATTATTGACTGTCTATCTTTAAAAAGACTGACTGGGATTCGTACCTTCATTGTAGTTTGAAACTTATGCTTTAATACATCCTGGACCTTATGCTTTGTTCTGAATTAAGCCACCACCCACCTACATTTGTCAAGATTACATTGTAATGATTATTGATAATATTACCTTTTTAATCTCGTCTAAAATCAGTTTAAGTTCGTCCCTTCGGTTCGATGTGTACATAGAGTCAATCTAAAATGGAAGACCGTTTTATACTATATATATATATAATTCAATAAATAAAAGTTTGCATCAAATATACGTAATCACAATCTGATTAAAACACAGATCCCATTTTTATAGTTCAAAATTTCGTTTTGCTTGTCTTTACTGAACTAGGATCTGGAAGATTATTGATAATATTACCTTTTTAATCTCGTCTAAAATCAGTTTAAGTTCGTCCCTTCGGTTCGATGTGTACATAGAGTCAATCTAAAATGGAAGACCGTTTTATACTATATATATTATATAATTCAATAAATAAAAGTTTGCATCAAATATACGTAATCACAATCTGATTAAAACACAGATCCCGTTTTTATAGTTCAAAATTTCGTTTTGCTTGTCTTTACTGAACTAGGATCTGGAAGATGGAAGAGTTGATATAAAACCCGCGTTCTGGATGATGTGAAGGATTAGCCAATGAAACGGTCTGTTACGGCAACTTCTTCGCGTGCCATGCACGGCATTGTGGGCAAACCACTATAAACTTCATCGCGGATTGATTAATCAATGTCTGGCGTTATAGGATCAGATCTTCATGTAGTATAGGCCATCGAAAGTATTAAAAAAAACGAAACGAAATATAGATCTATGTTTTAATCAGATTGACGTAATAAAATAATTAGGATTTTCTAACTCGAGTCTATAACCGAAAGCCGAACTAAGGCCCAGAGGGTATTTAATACTCTGTATAACATATGGATACGATTCTCAATATTGATATGCATTCCAAACATTTTTTGGAATTGTTGACACATGTTTAAACGACATTTATTAATAATACACATCTCCATTATCGCGTATCTGTTTCACTAATGGTTATGTGGTTACCATTTCGTGTGGTATTCTAGTAGTATGTCTGGTGTAGCACGGGAGCCACGGTGGCTAAGTGGGTAAGGCGCTGGCTCGCTAGCCTGGAGGTCGCGTGTTCGATCGCTGCATTGGCCAAGAAAGTTCATCCGGATTTGTTAGACCTAGGTCCACCCGTGACAATGGACATGTGATGTTCAGCCCGAATTATCCCCTGTAGCACGTGACCATAGTAAAAATATTAGCATTGAACAATGCTTGAAGTATTGTTCTAAAGTCAATCTTCATTTGTTTTGAATAGACTGGCCAATGATCAGATAAATAGGATATCAAATGTTTAAAATAATATATTTATCGTCTACATGCGGACAGACGAAATACGCATAACCATATATAATCTTCAAAAAGAGTAGGGGATATTGAAATGCAAATACCTATGCAGGTTGTGATATGATAAATGGTCATGGACACTTGACATGCTTTGAGAGTATGTTCACAGATGAAGAACCACTGAGCTGCACATGCGACACGCAATAGCGCCATACACGTGGGAGGTGTTCATTGTCAAATTTGACACTTCAAGGAAGGGTTGATAAAAACTGCCGCTTGCTGGTTTATCCTATCCATGTTTGCTTTCCTATCGGTTCTTGCATAAGATTTACTGTTTAGTGTATCTTTGCTGTAGTGTGTTACGTTTAATTTGATCGGGAGACGTGTTCGTCGACGTCAACCAACAACACTGCAAGAATTGGCCGTGGCGTGGCAATGAAAGAGGAGTGGGTCAGATTGCCCCAAATCATGATTGGACGGTTGATTAGGAGTATGCCACGACGAATTGCTGAATGTCTGAGGATTGGTGGAGCAATTACTCATTATTAAGACAAAAAACAAAAAACGTTCATTTTCATTTTTGACAGTGTATCTCTTTGCTAGTGAAATGGGGCCGTCAGATAAGCCTCCCATATGGACTGTTTAACATACACTGGTTACCTCTAATAGAAACAGCAGTGCATTTACGCAGTTTTGAAGAGTATATATATATATATACAACTAAAAGCAAATGAAAGGTTTTTTTTACCAAATATTGTAAGGGTTCAGGATGATATTTTTAGGGTGCTACACGTGGTGTAATTGATCTCACAGTTCAGTGAGGATGTTCAACCTCAAATGACAATTTCTAAAGTGAAATCTCAAAGTTAAAAACAGATAATATTTAATGAAAATGAGTAGACGTGTATTTGCAATGTTAGATTGTACTACTATCACGAATGAGTAGACGTGTATTTGCAATGTTAGGTTTTACTACTATTACGGGGGAGGGGGGTAGGGATTGGATGGCCGAATGGCTAGCAAGCGCGCGCTGTATCATACGGTCTGTCCTTGAGTCAACTGGGGGGGGGGGGTCGATTCCCCGGTTGTACGTGACAAGGAGTAGGGTCGCCTGTCCAACCCCGTGTGTGTTCTCTGGGTCCTCCGGTTTCCTCCCACTGCTAAAGACCCCTACGCGCAAGCGAACTATTGAAATAAAATTGAACCATGTGCTAGTCCCAAAATGACCTAGTTTGTGTTGAGTGGACGTTAAACCTCATTTCTCTCTCTCTCACTACTATCACGAAAGTAAATTACCCTTTCGAATGGTTAACGCGTGCGCGTTGGATCAGAAGGTCTTAATTGAATCAAGTGGGGTGGTTTCGATTCTCCACTGGTAAGTGACAATGAGTAGGATCGTTTGTCCAACCTTGTGGGTTTTCTGTCGGGTTCCCCCACTACTAAAGACCCTTGTGAACCATATGTTAGTCTTGAAATGACCTAGTTTGTGTCAAGTGGACGTTAACCCCATTTCTCTCTCACACATTACCTTTTGTTCCAGGTGCTGAATGTTTTTTTCAATCTGTGATAAGGATTGGTGAATATCAACTCTTCCCGACGTCGCCCTTGACTGATACGTATCATTAGTAATGGGTGACCTGCGAGTTTTGTTATTATCATTTGCATCCTCATAATTTACACTATGGTCCACTTCATCGACTTTATCATCCTCATCATAATAAACATCACTTTTTTCAACCATCTTACTTGGTATTGTCGTGCGTTTATCTTCTTTATCAGTTGTTGCTGACCATTCGGTAAGTTGGTGTCTTAAATAGTGTAAAATGTCAGTTATTATGTTTCGGAGATGTCGTTTGTAGAATGCAATCGATACGCTTTACATTATTCCAGTGACTAGTACAATGTTACTGATACTGATGTTTCATCTAATTATTTAAATAAAAAAACTCGTTGACATTGTATTCTCTGAGATCAGATTAAATAAGTTAGTCTACAACAGGGTAGCGTTATTTTTTATTGTTAAACATACATTATACAAGAGCTACACGTATGTCTGTCTATTGCAGGTCTCTCTTTAGGCCTGAAATGTTTTCTAAATTATTAATCAGACATTAATTAACATATCATGTCCATAATTAACTCTCGATGGCATCGGATTTCTCCGATATTATATAGATTAGAACAGTTCAGCCATATTTTGATTTAAGCTAAAAGCGGAGGAACGAGAATTAGCTTTGAAATTATTGCACACGTCTTGTCAAATCTTCAAAGGATAATATTGAATGAAATTATTCATTTTAAATTATCTATATTCGAACTATTATAGCAAGAATGGCTAGCTCTTTATCTAAATCTTACATAATGTATCTTTAATAAAAGGCCTCTTATTATTCTAAGGATGGGCTAATTTTAAACTAATGCGCACCGATGAAATATACCTTTAAAGTAACGGTGCGCAGCTGGCATTTGTCGCCAAAATATATCAAATGGCTCGAGGCTTAATTTGAAACCGGTTTGTATACAAAGAACATGCCAATAAAATCAATCAATTATCAAATTCTATCTAAACCTTAAGTACATTTAAATAAAAGCATGGTAAAAACAATCAAACAATAAACATTGTTAAATATATATATTTTACCTCAGTTACACATTAGCATTTTTCTTAAAGGACAATATTGGTGCCAGTCATTATCACATATGTGATAGAACTGGTTAAACATGTTCCAAATATTATTTTATCACATAGATCATTGCTACGATAGATGCGTAATCAATCTTTCAACAATGTACGGACTATTTCTTTTTTTCTAGTGTTCTCTTATCTAATGTCATTCAATGATCTCTGTGATAAAATAATATTTGGAACGTGTTTAACCAGTTCTATCACATATGTGATAATCACTCGTCTGTATTTACAAACAAGAGCTGAAACGGACATTATGGACGAAGTAGCAGTTTCTTGCAATTAAACTGCAGCAAAGCGAATACTTTGAATAATCCCATTCGATAAAGAAAACAAAATCTCAAATAACCACTCGATAATGTCCAGGCTCGGATTCAATACAGGTCTATTATCAAATGTTCGTGGACACAGATTGGTGGTAGGCTTACTAAGCAGTATAGATCGGTGAAATTTCAATTTCACATATCTTTGTAAATTTACTGAACGGGATTGAACCATTAGTGGACTGATATTCTTATTAGAGATTCATCTTTAACATTCTTGTAGTTTAAAAGTGATTCATATTGATTAAAATGGAGCACCAGGACTTTAAGCTAAAATAAAAGTCTACCTGTTTGTATTTGGAAGATGATTATAATTATTTTGAACAAGTTGTGGATTTGTTTTCAGTAGATCTACACACTTTTTAGCCTTGCTCTTTTCAGCACGAGAGTAAGATCGGTTTACTTCATCGGTGAGTGCTTCACCTGCAAATCAAAATGGTCAAATAGTCATAACGTGAACAGAACAAGCCTCTTTTCACTCGCTGGTTTGCAATTCTAATGATGACTTAACATCTTGGCTTCGTACTAATTATTTCTCGCCTTCGCGTTGACGATTGGGATCGTGTGTAGTGACAAAGGCACTATATAGGTATCCCGTTCAATGTGATCCCAGGGAACTTTGTTTAGACATATTTGAATAGGCAGCACCTGAATATAATTAACTCCAATATTTGCCTGTGGGATAGAAGAATAAGTCGGATAGGGTTACGATGTCCCCTTTAAAGTAAACCCACAATCACCCCTATGAAATTCATACCATGCTTGTCCTTTTTTGGTTCTTGGTCTACTTTATTCTTACAGTCACATGAACGTATGCAGACAATTAGTCTATACAGATGCTCGAAGAATATAAAAGGAGGTGGAAGAATTGGTCTTGTTTCGTATTCCGTGACACGTTCGTAACGTTGATAACCCCAGTGTGGATACGAATCGTCCATGATGGCTGTTATGGTTGAGCTATTGAAGTAAACAGAAAATAAACACACATTATTTAGGCGCAATTTCTTCATAGAGGCTATCTGATTTGATCAAATTTGCTATTATTGGTATTGCGGATATCGCTTCAAAGTATTCCTGGTAGATCACACTGATTTGCGTGTTACTTTCGTTGTGTTTAAGAATTATAATGATCATTACTAAATTACAAATAAATGACAAATTTAAATCATCTCAACAAAAGTCAACAAACATTACTATTACCTTGAAAAATGAAATAAGCGTTGAATTTTGGCACACTATATTTTTGCCAAAATATTCGTTTGTTTGTTTTTTAAGGTAAAAAATATATGTAGTTGTGATAATAACTTTACCTGAACATGGCTATGAGGAGATTCAGCAGTAAAACATTGATCAGGAAGATGTAAATTGCGAGTAACACTGGTGCTATATACTTCCCCACTTCAGTTGGACATCTTAATTGGTCGTAGTCATCATACAGGTTAGGATCATTGGTACACTGACTCTCTCCTGAATTATACATACACACGATATATAGCATACGACATAGGGAATATGAGCATCATATAGATTAGGATATTGGTATACGGCAAAGATCATCATACATATTAGTAACATTGGTACATTAACTCTCTTCTGAATTGTGCATACACGATATAGGGTATAAGATCCTATTTGACCTTATGTTTGCAACGACTGGTTGAAATCACTGAATCTAATATCTCGTATCTTATAATAACATAGATGCCCATTTGTACGGCTCCACAGCCCCTACAGAAATTGAGCTCGAACAACAGGGCCGGTGGGTGCAATTCATGATTGGGAGGGTGAGTGCTATCATCCTAGGACTTTATGCGAGGGTCCAAGAGCCGCGTGGGCCCCGAAGCTTCCGGGGTCTAGATTTTCTAATACAATTACCGAGGAATGAACTGAAATTTTAAATCTATTCTACGTCCGTTACCATGTTAACACAGTCGATGGTGGTTTCCTGTGATACTGAACTTGACAAGTATGCATAATAAAACCAAGACTGTGTACTCTCTAGAGGTCCCATTTTTTACGATTTTGATGAAACTGACAATATATGTTAATAAACGGAAGCCCTCGGTTTCTTTTGATATTGACGCATATGGGACTGTCACATCCAATATATACATGTTTAGTTGGTGGACATTTTACAGCTCATGGTTTTTATTTGATTGTAAAAACCGTTCAAATATTTCAACACAACATCATAATATCGGATGAGTTCAACATTCGTGAACATCGGACCGCAATTGCCCGACAAAATGGCTTCTAACCTTCAAATCATGCAATAACATGTTGTGGACCAACCAGAGGTTCGAATTTTGATATATCCCAAAAATCTGGGTTTCTTTCGATATTGACCAGTATTCGACCGTAACTTTCTGGATTATGACCACTGGTTGTCCGAAATATCACTTGTTTAGCTTGCGGACCCCCTAGAGGTCACCATCTGTATCTTTCGTTCAAATGTATCACTAGCTCTTTGATGAAGTTTGTGGAGGCGAACATTTGTGCCCGATTCATCAGATGAAACTTAAACTAAATCAGACCTCGTTGTATCTAACGCATAATGAGACTAGCGTGCAATAACCTGAAGAAGGGACTATTCACAGCCAAATTATTGGGGGTGCTAAAGCGCCCCCCCCCACTCCCCGGGCCTGTCGAACCGTTTTTTAATGACGCTGGGATTACTCCATTTTCTTTGAATGATTTAGTATAGGCAATTTCACACAGATCGATTAACTGGCTAGTGTGAATAGTTTCAAAAAGGTTCCAAGATAACCCCTTTCCTCAAAGTGTCACCATTCTAGAAAAGTGAAATAAAACGCGTGGAGTAAAATATATATTATATAAAGTGAAATATCGTTTTTGTTATTGATCCCTTATTTACAAATCATACTTGATTCTGTAACGCCCCTCTACGAAAGGGGATATACCTACCTTCAATATCCTCCAAAAATAATTCCCCATAGATTTGCCAGTAGGCCTTCCTTGGTAGGTGGTAAAGTAGCTTCCACGATAATTTAGCGTTTGGATATAAAAGAGCCTCGGATGAAATGGCATATGCAACAACAAATATCAGTATTATTAACACAAAGGGAAGTAAGTCCTGGGTTACCTGTAAAAATATATAATATACTTTAGTTGTAGGCTTGTAGTCCATCTTATTATTAGTCAGAAAAGGTATATTCTTGCACGCGTTCGAATTTGTCATTGCCAGTTCATTTCATTTTGCTGCGGACTCCCTTTTGTCCTACACAAAGGAGCGGGGCCGTTGGTAACGTATCCACGCTGCTAGAATCATTTCGATAAAACGATTTTAACGTACGCCGATATTACCACCTTAACCTTAAAAGTTTCCATTTTTTAATACCTGCATACCTACGAGGGCTGGCTGAAACGTTCTAAAGCCTATCCGTGCAAAACCGTATAAAGTCGACGGTTTTCATTTATTTTTTCTACAATCTGGTCACAAAATTATCAGGATCTGCTTCAATTTGGTGCTTATTGTCACGAGACGTCAGGAATCTGACACATTTCTTATCTGTAACTAAGAACGTTGGCACCCATCTTGCTAAAAACTGTTGTTATTCCTAACTCATTGGCGATAATGTGCTCAACCCTCTCATATAAGCGATGCCCACAACACTGGCAACTGGGTAATGATTTCTTGAATGGTTGCTGTTGATGGCCTTCTAGAACGCGGGTCACCATCAAGGCTCTCGGCAACCCACTTCTTTACTGTATGTATCTGCATGTATCTGTGTTGAGGTTAACCCTTCCAGCTGCAGGTACTTGATGACTGTCCAAATCCAGTTTTGTTAAATTCTGGTGATTTCAATTTGCAGGTGTACAAGATGGTCTGGTAGGAAGACAATAATGACACTACAATGGTCGTACTGTTTTGCGGCAAAAATTTGTGTCAACCCCATTGATTTATTTTTTTCAAGTTTGAAACTGTTCAGCCAGCACTCATATTTAAAGGACAATATTGGTGCCAGTCATTATCACATATAACAACTTTTGGTCTTCGAAAGAATTATTAGTGATCAGAAATTCGCCCGTGTATCTGTTATCAATCGTCACTTCAGTCAGTTATATAGAGGGATAACTCGTGTTTTCATTTTGCGGTTGTCACTTACAATTGTTGAAGCATTGATTACCCATATCTATCGTAGCAATGATCTCTGTGACAAAATAATATTTGGAACGTGTTTAACCAATTCTATCACATATGTGATAATGACTGGCACCAATATTGTCCTTTAAAAACATAAAAGGCATTATGCCGCAGATAACGCTAAACTGAACTATACGTTCCATGACGCTTCGGTCCCACTGAGTATAAAAATCATGGGTTATGTGGAAATAAACAAATTTTCTTCCGATGACTCCCGTTGCTCTCGACATTTTTGCCATAATCCCATTCGATATGGCTCCTTTGTAAATATCTTAGGAAAATTCGGTTTAACAGTAATCGGAAATGCATCTTTCGAATCGTGTGTAATACCGGGCATACCATGCACGTAATGTGTGTAAATTCCCAAACACCCAGGAATGTTAATAAATACTCACCAATCGGCCAATCATTACCAACTGTGGTCCTAATTTTACAGATCCCAGGAATATATACAGCACACGGATAAAATAAACAAGCAGGACGAAACACATTACAACCCTGGACAACTCAAAACTGTCCTCATATGCACGAAGAATCATCCCGCTAGTAAAAGCGATTATTGCTATAAAATCTAATACATTCCAGAAACCTATATTTGTAATACTGTCGTCGTTACGGCGCTCTGAAAACTTAAAAAAAAATATCATTCTTTAAGGTGGGGATTAGGTTAACATTCTAATGTCCTGCACTAAGCAGGCTGTTTTGCCCGGGCAGCGGCGTTGTTGACGAGACAGCCAACGGTTCCTGCGGAACTTTTTCGGCCAATACTGGAATCAAAATCCTGTCAACATGGTTGGTGAACCATCGCCATATTCATTAGACCACAATGGCACACTCATTTAAATGAAATGGGGTTTAAAGTCCTAGTGTCCTGCTCCAACTGGGCTAATGAAGTCGGATACTCGTTTAAAACACGGTTTGTATTTTATACTTTAATATGAACCCGATGGCTAAGCAAATCCCATTGTCTTATCGGAAATCACATGCCCATGTGGAGAGTCGCGATAGTTCCAGCAAAGGTTATTGTATTAAATTTATTTATATCATTCAGTTTCTTGATTAAGTGCTTAGACTGACACACCCATCGATTACTGAAAAGCAACTTGGTTATAGTATTAGCTTAAAGTAAGACATTGTTAGTATCTTAAAAGTTTTGCTTGGTGGCAAACGGTATTCGAACGGGGAGAGAAGAAACAATAATAATTTTGTATCTGACCTATAGAAAAATGGCTATTACCCTGACCCAAACAAGGGTCTAAGGGATACCAGTGAATATGAATATGACCACCAACCAAATTTATGTAGAGCACAAAGCCCCCCACCCCATTCCCCAGATCGTATTAATCCATTAATCACGAGAAAGAAGATCAACACGTTTTCGAAAGTTCTGATATATAAATCAAAATCGGATATTTGTGTTCATGCTGTTCCAAAAATTACGAGGACATGTCTGACAAATTAGACAGAGAAGTTTTAAACTGTAGTAAGTCATAAAAAATATTAATTTTATGTTCAATTTATTAAACGCGTAACTGCCAATTGCGTGGATTCATCTTGGCCAAACGTGTATGATGGATAATTTTAAAAGCGAGAGAGAAGAAGGAACAGGACACTACCCGCTACAGATTATGGATACGGCTGATCTAGATGAAAACGACATGCCCTGAAGTGGACGGACGGGGCCAACTTAAGATGCGATAATTAGTAAGGAAAACAGACTGTAAATGTACATCCTCATCACCCACCTAAATTAGCAGAAATCTTCTCTCAAAGCTTCTGATTTTATCAAATTTGCGGGTAGTTTCCCCCGAACTAACGCGAGACTTGACGTTGTCTCCTCCCAGGACCCCTGCTGGACAAGCCCCTGCATGTCTCATAATAGTAATTCTACAACAATATGACATACCTGTCGAATCTCTTCGCAGAGGAAAGTGAACACCCAGAAACAGAGCACACCTTCATTACTCGAGAAAGACGGCTTAAACGAAACCAACATGTAATAACTAAACACGCCCAAAAACACAAAGTAGGATCCCTGAAATAAAATTGTTTACTACGTTTTAATGGAAGGGATAAAAAAAATATGCGTTAATCTACATGAATTAATTTCAATAACTTGCTACTTTATGATCGGCATATCGATGATTATTAAAGTAGCCAAGTCTCTAATTTAATATAATCCAAAGTCGTATACGTTGAAAACACGAATTATTTGTCAATTTAAATCAATATTGATGTTGTTATCTTACCGGGAAAAGGAAGGCTTCTGATATCCAATATTTAAGACAAAATAAACATTTTACCATTGGTAATTCGTGTACCATAGTGCGTTTCATCGTCATTTGTAACAAGTGACCAGAAAGAGCGAGGCTAGACATATTCGACAACTCATGTCATACGGCGACGCCATGACTTACCAGGAGAGCATGCGCAATAGACTGGAATAACCAGACGCTAGAAATTTCTATTCGGTTGAGACTCATGCCATATTTCGCTGGACCTAACTGATTTGAAATCAGAGTCAAAACGGAAACAATTGAATGTAATTCAGTTCATATACAATCAGATTACATTATTATTGGCGTTGCAACCCATTTGGGTCAATTTCTAGGTCCCTAAGACACTTCCCTAAGCCATGCAGGAAGAACGCCTATATTGCAATAGTCCTATCGAAACTTGAGTACGGAAGCGTCGTCTGAGACCCCTACTTGAAAGGAGACATCGACCGCTTGCATGGAGAGGATCCAAAGATCAGCAGCACGATTTATAACGGGCGACTATAAATCCAGGAAGGAAAGATACGTCACTAATATGCTCAAGGAAATGGAACTGCAACCACTTGAGGAGAGACGCCGTCACCAGCGATTGACGTTCCTATTTAAGGTGGTTGAAGGGCACGTACCAGCCATTAACAATGATCACTACCTCAAGGATAAGGGCTGAAGAGAACTATTAGGGCTAAACAATTTGAAAAACTAACATCGTAGAAAACTCAGTGTGTAACAACAAGTGCTTCCAGCCAATTAGTTCTAAAAGTCACATATTCAAATACTCATACTTTGTACGAACTGTATACGACTGGAATAAACTCAGTGATGATACAGTGAACTCAGAGTCAATCGAATTATTCAAATCTAAACTAGAAAACATTAATTAGCACACCCCATCCGTCGTGCAAAAGCCAGTAATTGGCATCTACGACTATTCATTCAGATTCAGATTCCACATATTAGCGATTTAGCTCCTTTAATTGATATTTCTATAATGATCATCCCAACGAGAATTCAATATACGGTTGTTTTATAATCACAATAATGGATATACATAGATTAGTTGGATAGGTCAATCTAAAACGTTTGTCAAGCAATCATTTTCTATGTGGTTACGTAAAATATTTCAGCACATTTAACAAGTTCTGCGCTATTTAAATGCACAACGATTCGGGTCGTCAACATGATGCGCATTATTAATGTAAAGATTGATGTTATTTCAGTGCAGAAAATAAGATTTGTCCGTAATGACCCGTCTTATACGACAAGGATTGCACAATTATTTTCATCATTATTGTCTTAAAGAGATTATGATGTCGGTGTGAAATCACCAAAAGCCAACGTAAACCTCAAATAGCCATAACTTATGTTAGAATTTATCAATTTGAATTTTGGATCCAAATCGGTTTATTAAGACATGTACAGCGTAGTAATATCATGTCACGGCTACCAAAAAACATATAGTACGATGCTGTAGCTCAAAAGTTGTAGCTCAGCAGATCGAATATGTGAGTCTATCCTGGTGACAGGCCTACCAGAACGAATATGTACCCCTATCGATCCTGTGACACAGCTTTCAAAATTCTTGACTTCACGTTGTGTTCTTTTCATATGAATTGTGTGGTCGGGGGGATTATTTATAGAAGATCTTGTATTACAAACTGTTTTTGTACTCACTGCATTTATGATATACTTTACTTTAGGTTTGGAAAAATAACATAGCATTTCTTCTCGTAGGTCCTCAATACATATAAGGCATAGCAATGTAATCGGCATGGCGATAATCTGCAGAAATAAAATACAAACCTAGTTATGTATCAATTTAATTGTACTGGCCTCAACGGTAGATTTAAAAAAACGTAAAGGTTTTGGAAATACCAGAGGTCAAAGTAAACAAAGTAGAAAGAACTGCATACAAATCTCGTTCACAAAGCTTTGTTTGATCAAGATTAGCCATTTCCCAAATAATTCCAACACTTTCGAGATACGTAGACATATCAGGTTGGAGAATTGTATTTTGGAGAATTCATTGGCAATAACTCTACAGACTAATATTCTGTCAATATGAATGGTCAACATAAATTTTGAAATTGCATACACTCGTCAATCTTCGGTAACATGTGTTGGGCAAAATATGTGCTGTATCAGTAGGTCAGCTGATTTCAAGTTCCTCATCAACTCGCCTGCAGTAAAGATTATATGTTGGAAGGCATGTGTATCAAATGTTTACTCGGAATACACTTCGTTCAGCATGACGTTGGGATTCAAATATTGGTCAACATGTTACCGAGAGGCTGGTAGTAAGTGGGAACCACTGGTGTACACGCTACTAATATCATAATACTAATACGTTGACGAACCCAAGTTAAAATTCGAACTCATCCTGAAACCCGTTGGTTATATTTATTCCTTCATCATCATTTACATCCTTAGACTTCCATAAATCCTTGAAGCGATTCATCCATCATAAGAAAAAACAAAATTTACTTGGTTACGGTATTATGTTAGAACTGCCTACGGTTGAATGATTTACATAAGTAGCTATAATATACTTACTAGTAGCAAAGTCGTTATTAAACACGTTATTACAGATACGTCATTCCCCCATCTTGTATCAAGTATGTCCTGGCACGGTGTTTGGGATATGAACCTTTTATTTCTAACCTTTGCGGAAAGGTGCAAACAAGTTTTCTTTTCCCAATTAGGTAACTGACGTGTTAGGATGTGATAAGACTTCTTATCCTCGTAAAATGAATTAATGACGTATACTGCCAAACCTGTAAATTCGCTAGAAAATAAACAACCATAATCAGAATTTATTTGAGCAGTGGGGAAAACCGGACGACCCGGAGGAAGTCTTCGGGGTCAGGTCGGCAAGTGTGAGATCGAAACCACGCCACTTAACTTAATGACAGAATTTATGATCTAAAGCACACAGGTTAGATCACTCGATTCCTCCTCCCTAATGGAAAAGATTATGGATAAAAAAAAACCTCGCTTAGAGTTATAGAGAGAAAGAGAGAGAGAAATGTGGTTTAACGTCCACTCGACACAAACTAGGTCATTTTGGGTCTAACATATGGTTTAATTTTATTTCAATAATTCGTAGGGGTCTTTAGCAATGAGAGGAAACCGGAGGACGCGGAGAAAACCCACGAGGTTGGACAGGCGACCCTACTCCTTGTCACGTACAACCGGGGTCTTAAAGTTATAAGATCTATCGGTATATCATTAACATCTCTAGTCAAAATTGGAACACAATCTTTACTGTCTCGGTTGGAGAATTAGAAACCGGTTCAAGTTCGCAGTGGAATAGCGTTTTTGTTTTGGCGGATTTATTCGTTGCAAGTTATCTCTACTATTATTTTTTTATTATTTTTAAAGCTTGTAAATGATTTATAACAAGAGATTTTAAAACAAAACTAACTCAGCTTGATTTGTTATCATATGTCTTTAGAACACGACCGCCATTGTCGTTCTAGTGTCTGTGTTAAAGGACAATATTGGTGCCAGTCATTATCACATATGTGATAGAACTGGTTAAACACGTTCCAAATATTTTTTTATCACAGAGATCATTGCTACGATAGATGAGTAATCAATATTTCAACAATAGGAAGTGACGAACGCAAAAGGAAAACACGAGTTATCCCTTTATATAACTGAATGAAGTGACAGGTAATAACAGATACATGGGCGAATTTCTGCTCACTAATAATTCCTTCGAAGGCCAAAAGTTGTTGTATGGGACTGTGAAAGGATATCTGACAATTCATAAACAAAATTGACTTTCACTAGATAAAAGAACATGAAAGAAAAATAGAAAAAGTCCGTGCATTACCATGTTTTTATAAGTATATAATGAATAAACACCCGTGAATGTACGGACTGTTTCTATTTTTCTGGTGTCAGATATACTCTTACAGTCTTCGAAGGAATTATTAGTGAGTATAAATTCGCCCATGTATCTGTTATCACCCGTCACTTCATTCAGTTATATAAAGGGATAACTCGTGTTTTCCTTTTGCGTTCTTCCCTTCCTATTGTTGAAACATTCATTACTCATCTATCGTAGCAATGATCTCTGTGATAAAATAATATTTGGAACGTGTTTAACCAGTTCTATCACATATGTGATAATGCCTGGCACAAATTTGTCCGTTAGACAGTGTCTTTTGTTAATTATTGTTATAAAACTTACTCATTAATCTTGTTGAACTCTGCTAAATTTTCCTTTTCATTGTCACCCAAAACATCAGTCACTAACTCACAAAACCCATTCACGAAAATGGCAGCTGCTAATGGTTCCTAGTGTAAAAAAGTTAGTAGTGTTGTATTCGTATTACCAGAGCCGGTGGGACACTTGTCCAGGGGCCCAGAGCTTAGCGGAGCCAGGAGCTATGTCGATTACTGTTGGGTTTTTTTGGTATAAATTAATAATAAAAATATACTGTTACTAGATCGTCCAGAAGCAGACAGCCGGTGACTTTTCTGAATGTTGGTACCGAGATGCGCGAGTAGGATAAGGATCGATTGCTGTCAGTCCCCATTTTTAGTACAGGTATTTGGCATATCATAATATGTTGTTGTGTTACATCTCAGGGGTGTAACAAGGTGACCCGGGCCCTTATTTCCCAAGATATACGCCAAACTATAGAGCGCGACGGAAGAGAACCTCTCCGAATCCCCCCTGCGTATCGTGAAGAATTAAAAGGCGCGTGAAATGAAATGAAATATGGTTTAATGTCACGTCAGTACCAACCGGGATATATTACGCCAAACATGTGATTTTTTTTAAACACGCTAAATCATATCACAAATCTGTCTCTTTTAAAAAGTTTAGCATTTCACAATATAACCCAGGTCGGGCAAACAAGTGTTGTAGTGACTAGCAACGGTAATATCGTTATCTTGTATGTTTGAGATGCTTGCACTCAATCAAAATGTGGTTACCTGCCAGAGGAACATAACAGTGGTCCCATTCTGGTCGACGCTCTCGCCTCAAGATGAAAATATGAGTTAAAAATAATGACCAATGCGGGAGCGACCCCCCCCCCCCCCCAGTTGGTTCTATAGGAGTTGGGTCAATTTCCGAAGAGAGGCTTTATGTGCCTGCAAGATCCCAAGACCGTAAAAGGGATGATGGTGGAGATGATGACGATGATGATAATAATAGCTGCTACTAATACTATAAGAAAATTTTCTTATTCTACATATAAAAATATATTTGAAATTAAACTTAACGAGGCATTAAACCGCCTTCCAATTGATTCGTGAGGCAATTGCGAAATACAAGATGTGAATAACATATATATACTGATTCTATGTCCCTGATTGCGTATGGTGTTGAGCCCTTTGAGATACGACTTGCCCGTAGACTCGTACACAATTCACCCATAATCGAGATTCGATATGACACCCTTACATTGTTGTCTCGTATTTTTCACGGAATCCAGTATTGCTCTAGGAAGATTGGTGTCTACAAATCTATCATACGGTTATTGACAATAACTACCTTATAAATGCTTTCGTAGGAATACAGCTTTAAAGAGGCTAAACGGTTATGTACACACCCTACCTGGTTAGGTTGATCTAAGTGTATTTCTCACCCATAATACATTCTACGGTAGATATCGCTTGTGTGATAAATTTCATAATCTTTAGGAGATATCGCTTTACATGAATTTGATTGGTCAATCAAAATGGAACTACTTTTTTTTTCAAAGAACAGTTCATTTTATTTTTTTTTATTAAAAGTAACTTCTTTCTTATTAAAAATGAACTATTTTTATTTAATTGACCTTGATGGAAACACTGGGTTAATATAAAGGAGTTTGCAATGGTTGAATTGCTGTCAAAAAATGATGTATCACTACGCCATAATGTAATCAGGTTCAGTAAAAAAGTGAAATCTATAACAAAGAGTTACATGTATTTATTTGTGCATGTAAGAAGGGATTGGGTGATAAATAAAATCTCCCAATCGCCTTTTTTGATATCAAAAAAGACTCGTAGGAGATTCTCTATATATACAGATGATACAGATTAATGACTGAATGAAATTAAGTTTTACGACACGTTGACTTCATCCGGGCTATATTGAGCTATCCTATGGTGAAATATTAGACATGCTAAATTAAAGCAGTTTTCATTAACATAAGTATAAATACAAAATTAAAAAATATTTATCACAATGGTATATAAATATTTAAAATATCAAAATTAAAAGATACATTTTATAATTGTAATAAAAACTTGTCTCTTTGGTCTCTTTGAAAAAAAGGGTGACCCGTTTGGGCAGATACATTCTATAATGCCTGGCAAAAGCAATATTTGTATCTTATATATCATTGAGATAATTGCGCTCATTCAAAATGTGCTTCACGGTATGATACATATTAAACATAGTAACACATCATCAACATTTACGGTTATTTATTTATGATGATATTCATTTCGTTGTGAAATGCCTGAAAGTGGACTAAATAATATTGACTCGAGTTTAAAAAAAAAATTGAAATGTGGTTTAACGTCCTACTGTCCTGCTGCTCCGACTGGGATAGTGAAGACAGCCATACAGACTGCGGCGCTACGGACTACACTTATTCTCATATAATTCCAACTACCAACGGATCTTTTACGTGTACGCCAAATGCACTTCAGGCCCTCCGCTCTGCACCACTGACAAGGGGAAACCACGCCGGAAAATCCTCGATGAACTTTCCCGGCCCATGACTAGTGATAAATCATATGCTATCTTGATCGATTCAAGTCAAAGATTTGAAGTGCTTTACGCAGAGTCTGGTTATTATTCAAATAACGACAAGAACGCCCTTTAAAGTATTTAAAACAAAAAATCACTTGAATTATACTAACGTTAGTTTTGTAAATTAAAAGGGTCATACCTCTAATTCTAACCAAAATAATTTAGCCAAGTCTTTATTTCTTATGACGAGACTCCATACAAACAAATCTATACATCTACAGTTTTCCTTACTCTTCTTCGTCTCGGGGATTGTCATTTTTCTTTTAACTAAAACTAAAACAAAAGTAATATAGCAAAAGTTTGGACGATGACAATGCATGCCAATTGTCAGAAATCCGTTCGCACGGTGGAGTACAGTCCCGAATTAAGCTAGTGCATATGTTATAAGCTCCAACTATTGTGTAAAATAACACCAATTGAAACACACAGTATGCAAGAGCTTAATCTACTTATTGCAGGACTCATGAAATGCATAATCGAGGCTATGATTTTATCGTACCGACATTAGTAATGATGATCGAGGCTAGAACGAAAATTCAATCGCTAAAATCTCGGTTCAGAGTGGATCAATTTGACTGAAATTTTCAGCAATTTCTCTTTACATCATCTAATTTTTATACGCCTACATTTTCATGTGGACGTATTATGCCGTCACCTCTGTCCGCCCGTCCACAATTGTTTGTGGACTCTCTACAGGTCACAATTCTAATCCGATTTTTACGACACTTGACATATAGGTTTATCTTCAAAAGATCTCGGCTGCTTTCGATATTGGCATGTATCGGATCGAAACTTCATGGATTATGGCCCCTGATTGTACGAAAAATCACGTTTTTAGCTTGTGGACCTTATAGAGGTCACAATTTTTATCCGATTTCGTTGAAACTTGAAATGTAAGTTTATAAACCACAGATCTCGGTTCCTGTCGATATTCGCGCATATCGGACCGTAACTTCCTGATTTATTTCCCCTGTTTGTACGAAAAATCACGTTTTTTGGCTTGTGGACCCTATAGAGGTCATAATTTTTATCCGATTGAAAAAACCGTTTTAGTATATCATCCTTACACCCTAAGGATGGATGAGCTTTAATTTCGTGAAAATCGGCCCAAAACTGACAGATAAAATTGCCGCCCCTCGTTCTCAAATAGCGTAAAAATATGGTATATCAAGGTTGTGGACCCTATAGAGGTCACAATTTTTATCCGATTTTGTTGAAACTTAAAATGTAAGTTTATAACCCAAAGATCTCGGTTCTGTTCGATATTCGCGTATATCGGCCCAAAACTGACAGACAAAATGGTCGCCCTTCGTTCTCAAATAGCGCAAAAATATGGTATTTCAAGGCTGTGGACCTTATAGAGGTCACTATTTTTATCCGATTTTGTTGAAACTTGAAATGTAAGTTTATAACCCAAAGATCACGGTTCCTTTCGATATTGGCGCATATCGAATTGTAATTTTCTGAATTATGGCCCTTGATTGTACGAAAAATCACTTTCTTTTTAGCTTGTTCTCTATCCGTCTCTCGAAAATGAGGGCGTATAGAGGTCATAATTTTTATCCGATTTAAAAAACCGTTTTAGTATATCATCGTTACACCCTAAGGATGGATGAGTTTTAATTTCGTGAAAAACTGACAGACAAAATGGCCGCGCCTCGTTCTCAAATAGCGTAAAAATATGGTATATCAAGGTTGTGGAATCTATATAGGTCACAATTTTTATCCGATTTTGTTGAAACTTGAAATGTAAGTTTATAACCCAAAGATCCCGGTTCCTTTCGATATTTGCGCATATCGAATTGTAATTTCCTAAATTATGGCCCTTGATTGTACGAAAAATCACTTTCTTTTTAGCTTGTTCTCTACCCATCTCTCGAAAATGTGGGCGTATCCTGCCTGGCAGCCGCGAGTAACTATTATAGTGAGAACTGCCAGCCCTTTATCTAATCTCCCATGTATCTTTGAAGGTGATGATTAACTAAATTCGCTCGTAAAATGTACAGTGCAATATAGTGCTACAAATCAGAATCACTAATTCAAAATAATCAGCTTGACCGCATTAAGGGCTGGCACTTGCAAATGTGGATCCCATAGCTTATGATTTTTAGATTTTATTTTTGATGCCAAGTTAATCTTGCATTGGTCAATTATAATAATTATTCAAATGATCAAATCAATAGTAAATATCCAAGAAATAATTAAGTGCGACGATGACATAAGACTACTATATCAAAGATGTTAGCGCATAACAGGTTGTTTAGTTGCAAAATGATTTATTTACAGCAATTCAGAAAAAAAAACTTACTAATGCCAGGAAGAGTATACCCAAGCTTACGCAGTTTCCTGACAAATTTCTTATTCTCCAATATTTTCATCTGAAAATAAGAACAAACACGTTGAAACAAAATGGGATTATACTTCTTACTTTTCTTAACCATCTGGGCCATTGCATTGTGCTGCTGGGGAAATTATATTGGCCTACTCTTCGTTGGGTTCCAACTGTCAAGACTCTTTTTTTCCTGCTCGCCAATATGTTTCTTACACCAGTAACTTAAACACCCGAAGGAGCTAAATCCACAATCTTTGACATTGCAAACACGACTTACTGGTCAATTTAAATCAACATTGATGGTGTTATCTTACCGAGAAAAGATGGGCTCCTGATATCAAATATTGAAGGCAGAATGAAAAATTTAAAATTCAAGAATGCTTTCGAGTGCTAATTATTATGAGGTGACTCGATGAACGAGACTAAACATTCCCTCAAGTCAATACGGTAGTAAAATGACTGAACAACAAACGAAAACACGAACGACAAAATTATTTGCGCACCCTGAAGGAAGAAAAAAGGAATATAGCCAACAATACAGTGGGAGTAAAAGAGGAATTCGGATCAACATTCTATCGAAAAAAGATCCTTGGAATATGTTCAAATGCTGTAGGCCTATTGGTATTGGATCAATAATTATGAACGGTAAGAAAATAATTTGTGTACCCAAATAGAATAGGATCTCACATGTAATGCGGGAAAACAATTGGGGAAGCTTATAAGCTCGTGCATTGTCATGGACCCAAAAGCGGCCTTGGGCATCTGTTTCCTTGTATGACATTCAAGATATTTACACTTACCGCCGATGTTTCTTGGTGATACAACTTTTTCAGTTTCCCAACCGTGATGCACTTGTCAACGTCAATGCCATAATTAGTGAATAATTCAATAAATGCGACACGCCTTTCTCTGGTTGCATCGAACATTGGTTTGTTCATATATGGCTATAAAAGGAAAGACACCATTTACTGTTTAGTAATCGATTTATATGTATTACACTATTTTGTTTATTGTATAGCTAAAAATAAAAATTCACAGTTTTAATTCCTAAGATGGAGCAGTTACGAAACTGTACTATTGCCTAGACTGTCGTGTGTTTGAATCGTTGTCTGTTGATACAGACATAGCTCTATGTACAAGGTTTGGAAAAATATCACAGCATGTGTAAAGAGTTATAGTCCATGCGATAGCAAAGATTTAATCTCGAGTACAAAAGGTTTAAGAACTGAAATTAATAAATGTGTGATCAGAACCAAAATGTCCCTTAGGATTCCCAATGACCATAAATATCCCCCTGAGTAGTCCATTTTGGGTTTTAAGTCACTTCTGTGTTGGTCAAGGGCCATATTGGTCGGCCACGTCCAATCTACTTTAAGGATGATATTGTTGACAGTCATTATCACATATGTGACAGAACTGATTATACACGTTCCAAATATGGTTGTTACACAGAGATCATTGCTACGATAGATGCGTAATGAGGATGTCAAGAAACGGAAGTGACGAAAGCAAAAGGAAAACACGAGTTACCCTTCTATATAACTGACTGAAGTGACGAGTGATAACAGATACATGAGCCAATTTCTGCTCACTAATAATTCCTTTGAGGACCAAACGTTGGTATGTGAGATTGTGACAGGATATTTGACTATTCAAAAATACTAATTGAATGTCACTAAGAGACAACGAGAAAAATAGAAATAGTCGGCACATTCCCTTGTTTTTATTCATTCTATACTTAATAAAACATGGTAATGCACGGACTTTTTCTATCATTTTCATATTTTCTCTGTTCTACAAACCTTTACTTGTTTTACATGTTTGTCTAATATATCTTCTGCTTCCTTAACTGTATTCCATAGTATCATTAACCGTAACGTATCCGTGTGTTCCATATTCTTTTGTTCTCCAGCATACTTACCTAGATAGAATACGTAAATGCAGAGAAACAGGGTATAAGAATTTTTTGAAAATTCAAGAACTAACACACCGTTATGTACTCTGTAACGCGTAACTAAGATATTGACGAATTCAGTACGACAACACGCAATGGCGTACATTTTAAGTGACCAATTACTAAATGACACTTGGCCAAGAACAATACGATTTTTGAACCATCTGGACTTCTCAAGTAAACGCCACATCAGGCGTTCTAGAATGAGATCTAAAGTAAGCAAACAAAGTTTGCCGATGCCAAGACAGATGAATTAGAAGGAAGTGGCGAACCAAAATACAATGATTCAACCATAGGAGTCTGAATGGCCGCTCATTCTACGTAAATACATACATACACCATACACTACTAGACAGGAAATGAGATGAAAATATTATCTGCTTTAACATATGTATTTTCGGTTTGTGTGGGACATGCGAACGACAAGCTACAGTTCCCTGTGAAGCCTTTATTCATCTACCACTGTCAAGGGGGAAAACACACCGGAAAAACTCAAAGAATTTTCTAGGTCAACACCGCGAGGTAACCCAAGACCATCTGGTTAGCGAGCCAGCGCGTTATTCACTGAGCTATGAATACAAAAGCAAAAGAGTGGGGCACTCGCCTTTTAATATTGAATCCTTTACAACACTTCCAATGTCCTTTTGATGCACGTCCAAACATGTAATCAAGTACATATTCTCAAATAACTTTTCAATATGAGGTTCCAACCAATCTAACTTGAGCTCCAGAATCTTTTGCTTTCCTCTAATCAAGACAAATGAAATTTGATAATTAATCGTGATGATACTATAGCTTACAAATACATTTGAGGATATTGTCAAAAGACCAAAGACATATTGGGGTATATATAACATGTATCAAGCAGCTATATGCAACATCAGTTACACGTGAGGATAGATACTCTGCTTTAATCTTTATTGTCTCTTGCCGTATATTGAGTCATTTTTATACGGACACATTTTCCTGTGGACGTATATTGTCGTCGCCCCTGTCCGTCCACAATTTTTTGTGGGCACTCTACAGATCACAATTCTCACCCCACTTGCAATTTAGCCTTATCTCCTAAAGATCTCGGTCATTTCGATATTGGCACGTATCGGATCGAAACTTCATGGATTATGGCCCCGGATTGTACGAAGAATCACGTTTTTAGTTTGTGGACTCTCTAGAGGTCACAATTTTTTATCCAATTTAGATAAAACTTGAAAAGTATGTTTATAACCCAAATATCTCGGTTCCTTTCGATATACGCGCACATTGGATTTAAATATATCACCGTTCGACCACAATGATGTTTATGTTCTGTTTTCAAGAAAATCGGACCGAAACTGCGGGACAAAATGGGCGTGGGGCGTGTGTGTGGGGGGTGGTGTCCGAATGGTTAGCACGTGCGCGCTGTATCATAAGGTATGTCATTGAGTCAAATGACGTGGTTTCGATTTCCCGGTTGTCGCCTGTCCAATAAGCGAATTATTGAAATACAATAGTGTAAAAGTATGTAATACCAAGGTTTTGGACCCTGTAGAGGTCAGAATTTGTATCTGATTTTGATGAAGCATAAAATATATGTTTATATCCCAGAGATTTCGATTCCTTTTGATATTCACGCATATCGGACCATAACTGGCTGGATTATGTCTCCTGATTGTACTAAAAATCGCTTTTGTTAGCTTGTTTTCTGTCCATCTCTTGCAAAATGTGGGCGTATCTTGTGTGGCAAGCGTTTGTTAATAATATAGACTTTTGGCAAGTCTATATTGCGTGTGACGTCATCAATGTGTGTGGTGTATTTCTCAGATTTCGCTCCGCCACCCCCCCCCCCACACACACCTTTCACATACACACCCACACACTCATGCAAACAATCCATGGTGCTTGGGGGGTGGATGGCCGAATGGTTAGCACGTACGCGCTGTATCATAAGGTCAGTCATTGAGTCAACTGGCGTGGATTCGATCCCCAGGTTGTACGTGACATGGATCGCATGTCCAACCTCGAGGCTTTTCTCTTGGTCCTCCGGTTTCCTTTCACTGCTAAAGACCTCTGCGTGCAAATGAATTATTGAAATAAAACTGAACCATAATATGGTTCATATTCTGTTAGTCCCTGGTTTGTGTCGAGTGGACGTTAAACCACATTTCTCTCACATACACCACCTGCCAAGGGTTATCATAATACATTAATTTTGTAAGATTCGTACATTTTATTCATAATATTGAAAGTGTATATAGCATTGACAAAGCGCTTACTTATCTTTGTCTTTTTCCCCTAAAGCTTCTGCCAGTATACCACATATGTCTTCTTTGTCTTGGGTCACATTTTTCGACCCATTCTCCTTATTCTCCTTATTTTTGTTTGGAGTGTCATGAACCCCCTGCAATAAAACGGAGATCTTACAATTCAAAGTACCTAATACACACCTACATTTGAATATTATAGAGGTATTGGTGTAATGAAACTTAATTAGAATCAAAGTTATCGAGCTCCTAAGTCTCGGCCATTATCGAAATTCATCAAGGTATTGATATAATGAAACTACATACCAAGTTTCATCACTCTCACTTAACAAACGTCATCATTTCCCAAAGCATCAACCAATTAAATATTTTATCTCTACTAAGCCTAAGCATTAAACATTAACTCAATTAGAAGGAGAGCTATTGTGTCCTAAATTGTGTGACGAACGACGGTGGACAAATAAATATTTTGTGAAAAAAATTATTGGATTTAAACTCGACTACAGAGAGATGTTCTTTAATATATTGGAGTATTATAGCATAAAACGACACCAACCTTTATTAAGGTTCTTTAATATATTGGAGTATTATAGCATAAAACGACACCAACCTTTATTAATATTATTGGCCACTTGTTGTCGATGGCTTTTAATACTGCACCAATAACACCAGGCTCCAATTTTATAACGAACAACAATAATGGAATGTTCTTAGACAAACGGTCATCTGAAGAAAAAAGAATAAGTTGCCAGTTAACGAAACATGCCCGCAGTACTTAAGGCGCCCGAGCAGTCCACAAGGTTAAATACTTTAACGCTATAATATTGCTGAAATTTAATGTGCTTTTTCGTTTAATTAATTTAATTAGTACATATACATTTTCATACAGATCCAATAACTTATTTCGTCGTAAAGCATTCACAAGGTTCGATGGAGTGACAGAAATAATTAATGGAAATTGTTGAAATTCAATATATAGGCTTTGTCGGACCAATAAGGTAAACAACATATATAAATTTTCATACATAAGCTACAGAGAGTGAGAGAAAGAGTGTTGTCCAATCAGAAGAGCTCAGATGGTGCCAGGGTGGTATCCCTTTACGTGGCAATACAAGAATTGAAAAAAATATACCCAGGCCTTTCTTCAATTTGAAAAGAAATTCTGTTCTCTGTTTTACAATTTCAGCATCTGTCAGAACTTTTGTACCATTAGTATCGACATCATTATCCCCAGTATTTACTCGACTTGCTTCTTCTTTACCATTTACTTCTTTGATATTTTCATCATTAAAATCTGTTTCTTCTGTGATATTTTCGTCGCCATTTGTATCTTCTGTAACATCGTCATTTGCAACATCTGCATCATTCTCACGTTCAGTACCACATTCAACATCAGTTTCCCCTTTGGCATAATCTTCCGAATCACTTTCACTATAGTCCGTATCAGACTCATAATCATAGACGTCACTGTTTTCATCATCGCCATCTTTTGTACTTTCGTCGTCCAGGAATAAAAAGTGAGTATGGTTTCGATCAAGGAATGGAATATCGTCTTTCGGCTATCAATATAGAATGAAAATGAGCTTAATTACATACAGTTTATATATATTATTACATACCTGAAACAAACCTTAATTTCATCTTTTCAGGTGTACATACTATTTATACCTGATTAATATTGATTGTTGCAAGTGCGAATGCTGGGAGCGCGAGAGACAGAGATGGGGTGAGCGGAAAAAAATTCACAGTAAAAAAGTCACAAATTTGCCTAGATAAAAAAAACACAGGAAAAAAAGTCACAGTTTTTTATTACATCTCAAATTCAATAACAATATAAACAATAACATACATATTTAACCTTTCATTACACAGATGTAACTAGACTGTTTTAGTCTTTAGAAATCAGCACATTTTGATATCATAGCACATTTGATGTATTAGCACATACGGCATATCAGCACATGACATTTTAATACATTATAGCATATTTGACATATCAGTACATCAGACATTTTAGCACATTCTAGCTCATTCAACATTCTAGCACATCAATACTCTTTGTTAATACTAATGTTCCTTCCAACTCCATGTAAGAATTCTGGGATGGATTTAGCACCGCAAAGATTTCGTAGTTGTGTCTGTATCTTAACAAACTCTACAATATAATATATATCAGTTGTGACTTTTTTACCTGTGTTTTTTTTACTGTGACTTTTTTACCTGTGACTTTTTTTCCTAGATTCCTCCTTGTCACGTACAAGTTGGGAACCAAACCACGCCACTTGACTCAATGACACACGTTAACCATTCCGAACCAGCCACCAACTGGTGATCGTTGGAGCAATATAACACAATATGTGTTGATGGTTTTTGCCATTAAATACGACAGTATAAAAGTACAGTCTTAAATCATTGAATCATGGATGGATTGAAAAGAAGTCTGCGAGGACAGTTGGCTCGGGGCCCTCAATAAGTTAGTATTCTCGCGTAGAGGCCCTTTGTAGCCTTGAATTTATTCTTGATATTATTTGTTTGATGATTTGCTGTCTTTTGGGGTTTGGTACACAGGGTGTAGAATCCCTTAAGTGGGGTCCCTAGTGGAACCACACTCGCTGGTCTCCTGCCCATAGTTTGTCCCTGCTCTGAATGCTCAAATTGTTTAGTATCTTCTGTGTCATAGTGGCACGTAAAGTTGATGTAATTCGTTTCATATAATTGAAGGAACGGCATGGTTAAAAATAGCAACAGAATGAAGTATGTGGTTGTTTGAAAATAATTCTGTAATCTTACGTCCTAAGGGACCATGGGTAATCTGCCAAGAGTATGTTTATTATCGCAGACACCGCATCTGCTCTCCCGTAGAATTTAAATTTTGCCAACCCAAGCCACTGCAAACAATCATCCCATACTAGAGATCAACAGAAGTATTTCGACCAAAGATCAAATCTGTTTGATCCTGGTGTATTCTTCCACCATACATTTGCACAAGGGGTGATAGATAGTTCTGTACAAGTATATGTGAGTGTACTTACCTCCTCGGAAAAAAGTAGTTTATCCTTGTGTTTAGACACAAATTGGCTCCAGGGGATTACACCAATAAGTCGAGATGACTTTGAGAAAGGGTCCCCTGTTAACATGGTTCCTTTCAAGGCTTTAACTATATGATTCAAAGCACCATTGCCAGACGTAGTTCCATCTGTTACAACCCACATATCTAAACATACAAATACATACATATTAGTACAGCAGCAATCTATCAGATAATTTATTAACTTTCCTAATGTAAGTTAGTTCTTTCACTTCATTAACATGCATCGCATATTGTTGAAATATGTACCATTTTCAAGTAAAGACTGTGTTTAATTTGTACTAAAAAATGCCTTCATAAAACACTGGCGTGGGCAGATGGGCGACCCTCAGCATTCTTTTCAGGGAGGCGGGGGGGGGGGGGGGTCATTCAATCGTAAGGGAAATTTACGTTTAAATGTTATGCAATTCGAATGTTTTTCTTTTAACATTGTTGTGCAAGTTGACATACTTAATTTGAGTAAAGAGTCTTTTTCATCCGTATTTATACATTTGAAATGTCTTCCTGTCTCAGAGTAACCAGCTGCGGCGGTCTTTTGTATACATGTAATACTGAAATCGACCAGGCATTTTGTTCTCCTGGATATGGATTGGTAAGAATTGATCTAGTACCATTTGTTTGTAAACTATTTGAGAAATAGGAGTAATGGTGTCTTTACACCATATTATCGCTACCCAATTTCAATCTCCCAACATGCCTCAGCATTAGCATAAATCAATGTTAAAAGAGAAGATGATATTGGATCCATTCTTGTTATGGCCGAGATGTTATCCGTTCATATTGTTTGAAAAACATTTTCTATTTTTCCCGACCACCATTCGGCAAACCTCAGCTTATTCTGTGATCTTCATCATGTCATGTAGCTCCCCTGTAAGTCGTAGCTTGATATGCCTCTCCACCCTCCGTCTGATATTACGGTACGGTCGTAGGTTTAATGATTAGGAAAACTTGTTGCTTAACATAAATATTCCTTAAAAGGGCGTCTTTTGGAGATTTACCTTGCACAGCCACAAGTTTCATTAAAAACAACGCGTTTGAAAGGTGTGCAGTATCAAAAGGTAGGCCGAATGTACAAGCGACAGGGAAATGAAATGAAATGGGGGGTTAACGTCCTACTGTTCTGCTCCGACTTGGCTAATGAAGACGGGCATACGTCATACACTGTGCCATGAGGGGAATTTTGCCTGGACAGCGGTGCTACGGCATACTCTTATATAGAATTTAAAGTGCCAAGCGATCTTTTTTACGTGCTCGCAAAAGTGTAGCCTAGACGGGATCTCGGTTTTTCTTCAACACCGTTGTATTCAGTTCGCCGACCACACTTCATGGCATAGTCTGTGTCGAGTGGACGTTAAACCCCATTTCTCTCTCTCTCTCTCTCTCTCTCTCTCTCTCTCTTCAGAAATACTATATGTATTACATTTGTGAAGCTTATACAAAGTAAATCCTACCTAGCTTTTCTACCAAGTCAGTAAGTCCCATGCAAAATCCTTTAGGTACTTCCGTATTTTCATTATTTCCACCAACAAAGGCAATAATAAATCTAGGTTTAGGTAGCTTCCATATATTCAATAGAAGGTCGACTGTTTTGTCCATTTGTTCTCTATCGATACGGACATACTGAAATATTAAAATGGTATGCTTGTTACAGTCGTTAGCATATAGGTGTATCTTGATAATTGATCGTCTCTCCTAGTGAATGGAGTAACCTTATCGATTTTTCAATAATACTCTCTGGATTTATTCCCCTTTGTTACGAAATCTTGTTAGCACACTGGAGGCTTCAATTATAACCTAATATTGATTTTCTATCCTGTTGAACGGAAGAATCCTATTGATTTGTAAGTATATAGTACGGAATCATATTGTTATAAATTTCATGTCCGTCGTACAGCAATTCGCATGTCTTGTTTGTGCATTAATTACTAGTAAACAAATCCATATAGGTTTTTTTTTGTAATGTATGATTGGGTGGCCGAATGGTCTAACGCGATGCTAAGTCAAGTGGCGTGTTTTACATCCCACACTTGTACGTGGCAGGAGATGGATTGTCTGTCTAACCCTGTGGGTTTTCACCGGGTCCCCTCCACCACAGCTAAATACTCCTCCACACAAGCCGATTATTGAAATTAATTTGTACCCGTTGTAATTCGATATAAGAGTAGGTCATGGTGCCGCTGCCCGGGCAAAAATTCCCTCATTACACACCTGTATGGCGTATGCTCGTCTTCAGTAGCCCAGTCGGACATTAAACCCCATTTCATTTTATTTCTTTTACGTAAACACCTACGTATACACAGGATCTCGGCTTTCTGTCCCATCCCAAAAACTAAGCACTGTCCTTGTCAGACATCCCACCCCGTTCTACTCACTTATGAACCTTTCAGACATTTATATTGGCTGTCTGTCTCTCCTGTTGAAAAGAAAATCCGATTGATGCCTATCTAAACCGTAGACTGCAGCATGCATCATATAGGCTTGGTTGGTACACAGTTACAATGTTGTAATGACTAGAAAACAACTATCAACTCAAATAGTTTCATATGCCTACAATAAATCAAAATTGCCAGCAACCCTTTGATGTTAACATCAGCGATCATCTGCCTGCTGTCGTCCAAATGTACCTAATAATAGAAGCTACTTTAAAGTAAGCGCTTGATGAAGTATCCATTAAGATGTTAGTTCATTCTATTCTAAAGTAAGGTTACTTATAATTATTTTCTAGAATCAGTTGAATTTGCGAGTGAATACCTGGATTGGCGCGTTGCAGGGGTTTTACTGTAAACAATATACAAATACTTGATTCAAAGCTTAGCTGTGTCAGAACTGGTACTAGCTGCTCGGACTCTTTACAAAAAGAGCTTTCAAACCCGTACTCGCAATTCAAATGCGTGTGTTACCTTTGTTTTATGATTGCCCGTCTTCTCCACACCAAACACGTCACACGGGTACTGCCTCGGGTGACCCTCTTCTGGACGTTTACATCTACATGCTTTTTCCTCTCTATAAAAAATAATAATAATAAAGATAGCCACGCAAAATGGAAATGCACCAACAAAGCCGCTTTGTCTCCTAAAACATAGCCATGGACAGCAGTTATTCTGAAAATTAAATTTGGATGTCAAATTTTATAGGAATCCTTTGTACCGTCATGAAATCCTATTTCTGCCGTGCCACGTGATATTTGGACCAGGAAGTCCTAGAACACTAAACATCAACAGTTTTTCACTCTTGGTTCCAAATATCACAGTCATTATACTTCACGCCAAATTTGAAAAAGAAAATCGGTTCCAATCTGTAGCATGTTACGTTAACAAGATTATCGGCAAAGGGAGTGCCTATAACAAGAAAAGTCATTAAGGGTTCTTCGTCTCCAGTCCTCATTGTTTCGCACCAGACTGTATACTCTATTTACGTTAGCCACGTTTTCGGAGAAGGGGGAGGCGGAAGGGGGGGGGGGATCGGTACGCAAGGTCGCCGAACGTTGAATATCAAGAGAGCTCTTCTTACCAAGACCCAAATGTTTCACACCAAATTTGAAGGAAATGAACAAAACCAAAGCTGTAGACTCCACAGCGTTAACAATATTTCGACAAAAGGAGAGAAAATCCAGAACGGAAGCTCGGGAGCGCTGAATATTGATAGAGTTCGCCCTGCCATTGGCAGATCTTTGGATCTAATGGTATCAGCTGTATCACAGTTACCGAATTCATCTACTCTTGCCCCGTTGCACCCTGGAATCTATAGGGTCGATTGGTAAGAGAAACCCGGTATCTAATGAGCAAAACCAGTCCGGGGATAAATAGTTTACATCAATTGCTGTATACTTTTGCATACCACATAATACCACTTACGGTTCATGTTTGGGACAGGTTAACTTTATGTTTGCCTGGATCCATCTGCCGTCAGATTTTTTCTCTTGCTGTTCCTGATAATACATAACAATTAGAACATGAACTACAACTTTGAGAATAGGTATTTGATTGAAAGTTTGCTTTCTATTCGTGTAGAGTTAATTGGAGACATGCCACACTATAGCAAATTGGTTATTAGTTCCTACCCACCCATCCAAACCACACATACATTTCCCAAATGACACATTGACCACAAAAGCTATTTTATTTATTAAAAAAAGAATTAAAAAAGAAAAATTACCTTATATGATTTTGGCAAAAATCGTTCTAGTCTGTACATCTTCATATACTACATTATTTACTTGCCTAAAAGTAAACTATTTAGTGATTATTTTGTCAATAAACAATATCGATTAATGATATCTAAATGTTGTTTACCTAAAGAGCTTAAATAATATTATTTGTTTATAGCTGTCTCGAGTAACATCACCATATGTTTGGCGCAATATAACCCGGCTGGAGTTGACTTGCCTTAAACAATATTTCATTCATTAATTCCCATCTATGTTACAATTATACTTCTAGGCATGCAGCCACAATTTCTAGCTTAATTGTTTAATTGATTTTTTATGTCACCCCCTCCCCCCACGCCTGCGAAAATGAGTTTGTGCGCCCCTGATTACTGCTATTGCTGCGAAGTTCATTGCTGGAAATTTAACTCAAAATCTTCTTTGACATACAGACAGACCTGTGGAATCACGAAGACAATGAAGAAAACTACAACCAGAACTGCGATTCAGTACTGACGTGTTTCGGTGAATGTTTCAATGTGAGGGCTGTCAAAATAGCGTTGGGATCGAAACAGGTGACCGAAGAGCTGCGATTGTAAGCGCAACACCCCGGTCTACAGCTTGAAATGCGACTCTGTGTTAGATGACACAGATTAATTGCACATTTATCTTTTGGAAAAGTACCGAGCAATCAAACTGATTATCTATACTAAGTCTAATCTTAAAATGTTCACAATCAAACTCAGTCAAGGGTCATCACTTTCCATCAGTTAGAATCAAAGTTATCTCGTCCCAAAGTATGAACCAATGAAATTGCTTAGCTTTGCTTAGCTTTAACGGATAATATTGACCCAAAGAACACCAAGTTTAAAATTCTACCTCAATTAAAAGCAACATAGATAGGTTCCGACGTTTTGATCAAATTGCTTATCACTACTTTATGGAAGGGTATCGCAGCCAATATTAAATGCTCTGCGACAATGTCGTTTCCATTGATTATATGTAAAAGGTACAATGTACAAAGATAGTGTCATAATATTTCTAATGCAAGAGTTAAATGTAAAACGTCAAACGTTAAATGAAAAATGTTTTGTGGGAAAGTGTTTTTTTTTACGTGTCTACATTTTACATTTCACTCGCTACATTTTACATTTGCGCTCTGCCACATCCCATTCGTCCTTCTTTTCCGGCGTGGTTTCCCTTTGTCAGTAATGCGGGACAGAGGGCCTGACAAGGACAGCTGTCTAGTCGTTCGGATGGGACGAAAAACTGAGGTCCCGTGTACACATTGGCGTGCACGTAAAAGATCCCATGGCAGTTGGAATTCGATATAAGAGTAGGCCATAGTTCAGCTGCCCGGGCAAAATTTCCCTCATGGCACACTGTATGGCGTATGCCCGTCTTCATTAGCCCAGTTTAGGTGCAGAACAGTAGGACGTTAAACCCCATTTCATTTCATTTGTCCTTCACGCTTTTTATATAGCATCTTTCGCACAGCATTAACTTTCATATGCATATGTAGGATATTTGTTTAGAATTGCCCACTGTGTCTTCAATAGGAGACGATATGTTTACGGTAGGATAACAACACGTCCTTTAAAAATAAAAATGTGGCAGTAATTGTGTTGACTATGTCCGTATACAGTGTATACATGAAATAGTCGAAATTGATTAGTGAGTCTTTCGTAAAGCACCATTCGGCACAAATTTTAGTTTATTAGAATAATAAATTCAAAGCAAATAAGACAGTCCACAGTGCGTTTGGCGCTATCTGTTTTATAACATGCATAAGCAAACATTATACTATTGTATATTTGTTACTACATGTTTTTATATGACTCGCATATATACAATAATTAATCTTTTTAACTGATTTTGTATATTTTTTTACCTCTATTGTAAATATTGTGGTATGTTATTTCATTTATCAGCTATATATTTTGTATTATATTTTCTATAAAGGGTTTCATATTAGCAAGGCTATTATAGTCTAATCTTCAACCCGTCTGAAATAATTCATTGTTATTATTATTATTATTATTATTATACTCGGTGACAATTACAGAAAAAAAAATAACAAAACGGATTTGTGCTATTCTTACAGATAACAGTCAATTCATAACCTTCATGTATGGGTTTGGGATTCGATTATAGCCGTGAATCATGAATAGCAGTTATCCTGCATAATGTATAAAGCGACAGGACTGGATTACCGCCAAACACAGCGCACGACATAACCTGAATTAACCGGATATTTATTAGTGTATATATTTATGAGTATTTCATGGAATTGTGTATTCTACTAGTAAAAAGGCTTCGCTAAAATAAGAAAGGGCTAGAAGTAACCGCAAATAAACGGGTTTGATTTCATTACATACATCGGAATTGTAGACATACTGACAGCCACTTCCTCGCTCATATTTACATGACTAAACAAAATGAAATTAAAGGAGATATAACGACCTACTTCCACACCAACAGGACTTTAGGAAGACGGGTATGCTATAGGGCAGCGGCGATATTTCCGATTTTGAATTTCAACTTCATGCTAACCGGCTTGTCGGCCTATCCGAATTGCTAGACGCTGTCAAGAATAAAAGCAGAACTGCTAATAATTCTTCCAATTCCCTGTATTCTTGCAGAAATGAAATGAAATGGGGTTTAACGTCCTACTGTTCTGTTCTTATATAGGCTAATGAAGACGGGCATTCGCCATACACTGTGTTATGACGGAAATTCTGCCCGGGCAGCAGCACTATGGTCTACTCTTATATCGAATTCCAACTGCCAAGGGATCTTTTCCGTGCACGCCAATGTATACACGGGACCTCGGATTTTCGTCCCATCCGAACGAGTAGACAGCTGTCCTTGTCAGACCTTCCGTCCTGCAGCACTGACAAGGTATTAACCATGTTGGTATTCTTGCAGCAATATCCATAATAGAAAGTAAATGAAATACTACCTGAGACCTGCATTAACAGTTGCAAACTGCTTACTAAACATATTCGTCATATTATGTTGCTTAGCTTCGTTTTCTCGTTGCCATAAACAATATTCCAAACAAAAGAAACATTTCTGTGAAATCGAATTAGGTCACTTTCAGTTTCGATGCGCTTTCAGCCCATTATATGGGTAATGGTTTGGATTTGAATGAAGTCGTCACTGATTATGCACGTGGATAATGGCAAATTCGTATTGAAGAGAATGACAGCCACTCCTCCATCGGTGGTCTCCGTTATCTATTGGTGGGCATTCTTCGAAATAACTATTTTTCTAAACCATGACAGCACGTAACAGAAAGTTTCTGGGAATCAAATCAAATGTAATATTGTAGTCATTGGTAGCTGTCAGCAATTCATTAAAGGGGTATGACTTTGTAAATATAGTAGCTTAATTACAGACTCACGTGTGTTACATATAGTATTAAGCAGCTGTGGTTTCTAGCTTTGAGTTGGAGATACAATCAGTCCAGCTGATGTATGTAAATGGCCAAGTTAGATAATCATGTAATACTGTAGTCATTGGTAGCGTCGTTATTAATTGGTAGCACACGACTTTTTTCAAAACCTATTAATCTCGGAAAACATATTCCATCGCATTCACATGTTTTTATACGCCCACATTTTCATGTGGACGTATTATGCCGTCGCCCCTGTCCGTCCGTCTGTCCGTCCACAGGTCACAATTCTTATCCACTTTTGACGAAACTTGAAATATAGGTTTATCCCCATAAGATCTCGGCTGCTTTCGATATTGGCATGTATCGGATCGAAAATTCATGGATTATGGCCCCTGATTGTACGAAAAATCACGTTTTTAGCTTGTGGACCCTATAGAGGTCACAATTTTTATCCGATCTTGTTAAAACTTTAAATGTAAATTTATAACCCACAGATCTCGGTTCCTTTCGATATTCGCGCATATCGGACCGTAACTTCCTGAATTATGGCCCCTGATTGTACGAAAAATCACGTTTTTAGCTTGTGGATAGAAGTCATATTTTTTTATCCGATTTAAAAAACCGTATTATTATATCACCGTTACACCCTAAGGACGGCTGAGTTCTAATTTCGTGAAAATCGGCCTAAAACTGACAGACAAAATGGCCCCCATCGTTCTCAAATAGCGTAAAAATATGGTATATCAAGGTTGTGGACCCTATAGAGGTCACAATTTTTATCCAATATTGTTGAAACTTGAAATGTAAGTTTATAACCCAAAGATCTCGGATCCTTTCGATATTTGTGCATATCGGACCGTAACTTCCTGAATTATGTACGAAAAATCGCGTTTTTAGCTTGTGGGCCCTATAGAGGTCATAATTTTTATCCGATTTAAAAAACCGTATTATTATATCACCGTTACACCCTAAGGACGGCTGAGTTCTAATTTCGTGTAAATCGGCCCAAAACTGACAGACAAAATGGCCGCTGTTCGTTTTCAAATAGCGTAATAATATGGTATATCACGGTTGTGGACCCTATAGAGGTCACAATTTTTATCCGATTTTGTTGAAACTTGAAATGTAAGTTTATAACACAAAGATCTCTGTTCCTTTCGATATTTGCGCATATCGAATTGTAATTTCCTAATTAAGGCCCTTGATTGTAGGAAAAATCACTTTCTTTTTAGCTTGTTCTCTATCCATCTCTCGAAAATGTGGGCGTATCCTGCCTGGCAGCCGCTGGGTTTTTTTTTTTAAGAAATGGGGACATTAACTCAGAAACGGCAGGTTTGCCTCCTTATGGCCTCTCTCCTTTCAACTAAATTTGAAAACAATGCCTCTATAGCGCCACAAGGCTCTTACTGGTCATAAAAAAGCATATCTGGGAACCAACTCTGCGTCCTAGTATATGAGTTACATCGGGCGCCGTTGTGACTCAGTCATGGGGTGGCTCTTAACAAGGAGGTCTTGGATTCGCTCTCAGATATTGGCCGTTTCCAGTTGTCATTAAGCAGGACAGAGAACATGTTTTGTCGCTCGAATGGGATGAAAACCCTAGATCCCGTACACACAAGAGACCCCTTTGACAGTCGGAATTCAAATTAAGAGTAGGCCTCAGTGCCACTTTCCAGGCACAATTTCCCTCATAAAACACTGGATGATGTATGCCCATCTTCTTTATTTTTCCCCGTCTGTGCAGAAAAGTAGAACCTTAAACACCATTTCATTTCGTTACATTTATGACTTAAACGGGAATAGTTTGGTGTTCCTGGCAGTTCGTCTTCTATAGCGCGATTCGCAAATATTCTATCGGCATCTCCTTGATTCCAATGTGCTAATTACTCCTGGAATGGAGTGCATACTTTTCGAAGGGTGGGATGAGGGGGGGGGGGGGTCGGTCTCAGAAGCGAGTCATATAGAGTGGACTTTTTCCATAAAGAAGTATATCAAATGACTGTTTTCGAGGCTGATACATCCTTCTACAAACACCATACAGTTCGGTTCCGTAGATACCCCCACCCCCACACACACCTACCTCAAACCTAACCCCTAAACACATCCCATGTGCAACTATTTAAATGTTTTTCTTAAGGTACAATTATACTTGCTGAATATATGGATCTAAATAAATAATAAATACCAATTGGAGTAATTTTTCTATTAAAATCCAGATCTCCTAGTTAGCCAATGAACCCGCCTACAATATCTGAAGCAAGAGCACTTTTCAGGATCCGTCAACAACATATCTCTCTATCTAAATGGCAACCCTTTAACGGAGAGATTTGAAAGACGGCCCCCTATACTGTCAGTATGTGACCACTCATGTTTGAATCAACTCGCTCTTTACCTGTATAAATCGGGTAAAATGTCTTCACCCCTCAAAACGGTTAACCATCAAGAGGAACTGCTTTGGTACCAAAATTAGGCTCAAATGGGTGACCAAATACTGAATATTAAGAGGGATATCACTTGACGTGCATGGTTTTGTCATTGAATGACTATTTTGTTAAAAGGGGTCGGGAAGGAAATATTTGCTTTATGAAGGCCACACAACAGAACACATTGTTAACGTGCTTAGTGTCGGTTTTGAAGTCCTGAATTCAATTACGCCGGTTTGTGAACGAAATTCTTTACACGAAATCAACAAAAGGCGATTGTTCAATATTAAACTGTTTTTCGTCATCTATTGAACGAATGCTAATAAAAATGCTAATAAAAAAAATATTTGGTCAGTAGTTTAAGCATTACTTCACAAATAATGTGGCGTAATGTTAAACCCACGTGCCAGCAATTCTTTAAAGAGGTCTTACTATGTAAATATAGTAGCGTAATTACAGACTCGCGTGTCAGAGAGAGAGAGAGAGAGAGAAATGGGGTTTAACGTCCACTCGACACAAACTAGGTCATTTCGGGACTAACATATGGTTTAATTTAATTCAATAATTCGCTTGCGCGTAGGGGTCTTTAGCAGTGGGAGGAAACCGGAGGACCCGGAGTAAACCCACGAGGTTGGACAGGCGACCCTACTCCTTGTCACGTACAACCGGGGATTCGAAACCACGCCAGTCGACTCAATGACAGACTTTATGATACAGCAATTCTTTAAAGGAGTATTACTATACATATATAATAGCGTAATATTACAACCGTGTAGAATTGACAAAGCAGGCGAAAACGACAATTTGGACTGTTCGCGTATTTCATCGAATATAAATAATTAGAAATGTGAATAATTTTATTTAAAAACTGAATATCAATCACTTTATAAATACTCATATGTGCTTTAGACCTATTTTCGTCACTGGTAAGTCCCTTTGACCGATTTCGAGCACTGACACCATGCTCGACACCATGTTAGTCACGCAGCCTTATAGTCAATCGATTATGAACAGTTCTGTAGGGTGGGGCGGTATTCGTTCTCTTTCGACATCAGTCCAGGCATTTTAACTCAATTCTGCGTCATCGCGGGCAGTTGAAATGCCGAACACAGTTTATGGTCGGTCTAGACGTATATTATAACTCAAAATTATCACCCAAACAAAAGTCCCAGTCGGGAATCCGTGTCCAAATGGGTACATGTGATAACATCAAACATACCCGCCAGTTATGTAAGGGAAATGCCAATTTGTACCGAATTATTATATGACCAGTTAGGTATCAAAATATACGTTTTCCGGGTAGCTGGATCCGCTTTAATACCAATTTTTCTGATTAGTTATACCGCGGAGTCAGTTTAGTGGCAGAACATGAATTTTGCTAAATTATCGAGTTTTGGTGTCAAAATGTACGTTTTTATAAGGTAGCCTATTCCATTTTTGCATTTTGGTGTTTAATTGGTTCCCTTGGGTCAATCTACCAGGAAATCCAGTAAGAGATTGGGCGATTGTGGGTACTTGAGTCTGACTTAGATCTAATACCATGACATTCATCAAGCATCAATTAAATATAATCTCGATCAACTCACTGCGGAAGCAGCGTAGCAGGTACGTAGAAAGCGAAAGACGACACTCACTGCGTACGCAGCGTAGTGGTTCGTGTCTGAGTTTGATCACCAAGCTCGAAAATTCAGCCAAGATGACCAAACCTATTGAAGTAAGCGTTAATATATCGAAAAAATTTAATCAGATTAGTTTGGAATTGTTGTAAGGTATATAATTGTATAGTAAACACAAGCTTTAAGGACATATAATTTTGTTTGGTCATTTATAATGCTCTTTAACTTTCATTTCACTCCATTTCAAATTAGTCTTTATATTGAAAATATTGTTATCATTTTTTATTAATTTTCATATCAAATTAATCTTTACATCATTGTAACCTAATGTCTTACCTATCTGAAGTAATTCTTGTGGCGTCTGGATCCGAGTTGCCAGCTAATGTGCTGTGTAAGTAAGCACGATCCACTCCGTACATCTTATCAAGCCATTTGCGTATTACTCCGCATATTTCGGCAATAATTTCGATTGGGTACTGACCCAGGTGGAGAGTCTATCAGATTCCTCGATCATCGCGAATACCTTGTCTCGCCAAAATGTCTACTTGTGATAATCGAGTTGCCAAGTTCAAGGCTCGGCCAATGTCAAGGTTTCGGTGAAGGTCGCCATGTTTGATTTGAGTGTTTTTATGTCACAACCTCTGATTGGAAACTACTGTTCACGTGTCTGCCGTATAGGGGGATAACGTAGCTATAAATTTGGGAATTCCAAAGCATATAGCAATGTCTAGATGTTGTAAAACTGACAGTCGTTGATTTAGGAACATGCCTCTATTACGGACCATCGGTCGTAGATTGGAGTCCGCCCTGACGCTGCCAATTCACCGCCCCGCGGCTACACGATATTACACCCGTTTTGTCAATCGTGCTGAGCACGTGTTGTGTGACAAATTTTGAATGTATAACGTTTCTGTTTTCCGTTTGTTTGGGTTTTTTTTGGTGATAATATAGCAGCGAGAATCGTCGGTATAACTAAAGACTGAAACTATCCTTGAAACTATTTATTACCGGAAAACATTAAACATCATATACGGAGAACAGTACGTCCGACAAGCAGAGTAACTGTCCTGGAAACGGGATGAAACCTAGAATGCTATATAAATGTACAAATCAGTATTTGTAAAAAAAATAGTATCTAAGGAATTAACAATATACGCCAACGTTACTAATAACAATTAAAGAGGTAAGATTAATATACCAAAGTCACTGCAATTAAATGATATGAAATGTTGTTTAAGGGCACGTCAGCTCCAACCGGGCTATATTCGGCCAAACATATGGTGAATCTAACGAGACAAACAATAAAAATAAAACAATAACGTAGAAATTAAACGCATTAATGTGTCAGCGGTCAAACGTCTGTCAATAGAGAGTAGCTTAACGTCTTATTAAACTTGGGGATTACCAGAAATATAATAATAATAGAAATGTTTAAGTGAATGAATGAATAATGAACGAACGAACGAATTATTGAAAGAATAAAATAGAAACCGTTCATAAATAATTATTTATCACCATTATATTAATATACGTCTAGACCGACTATAAACCGTAGTTTACCTTTCTACTGCGCAATTGTCCGCACTAATATTATCTGGACTACTTAGTGCTTTCAGATACTACCATATAGCATCGAAAACTGATCAACTTTTTCAATTATTTCATTAGCGATAAATGAAACGGCTAAACATTGAATAAATTATTTATCTTCTTCAAACAAATAAAAACATATTTTGTTTTTCAAGTAATTTTACTTTTATCTAATTTTTGGGGGTAAAATTGGTCAATTATTTTACATAAAGTGATTGATTTTTGACAGCCGTGTCATTTTTGTTATATAATTGATGCATTATGTAAGATGTTCACAGTGATAAGTTTTATTTTGTAGCACTTGGGGTACTGGATAAATCGCCCTGCCTAATTCCTGATGCCAATAACTTGCCAATATAGCTGTAGTGCGTAGAAGCGGTCCCATTGAAATACTTTCAATAAACACAGCGATTTTTAGACTTACGTTAAGGCAATGGCTAATTTCCGATTTCCGAACTATAAAATGTTATTCATGCACTTGCAGCTTTCACTGGTATGTATATATTTATTTACGCAATAAATTTCTCTCGAGCGCATGCGGGTTTTGCGATACTTTTTTCACTGTATATCTATGGTTAGGTCTAAATATTAAGGCCAACTGCAGATTTGGTGAAAGGTCACGAGAATAAACAGGACTAGCGCTAACCCACAATCGCGTGCCCTAACCCTATTTACACCGCGAGACCTTGACGAAAACAGCAGTTAGCCTTAATACTTACATTTTACCGTAGTTTGATAAATATGACGACAGTTTTAGATTAGGACAAATTTGTTACACGATGGGGATAATAGGGATATCATTCGGATATGAGTAAATGGATATAATTTATTCTTAGTAACTCTCTACCGTACTGACTTAGTGTTAAATCCATGACATTTCTTGGCCTATAACATGTTTTGTTGTTTGACATTCCGATGATCTTAATCTTTAAAATTACCACAAAGTGTGAAAGGGGTTGACCAGTTCGATTTGTTGCTAGGCCCGGTCAAAGAAATATAAAGGAAGGAACGTCATTGTAGTAGGTGATCACCCTATTAATGTATGTATCTTTACTTCCTGATCCTTGTAGAATATTCTACAAATATGGAATAAAATGGAAATTCAAACACCCTTCTTCCAATTCTAGACCAAAAATTCCTGTGAAATTGAGGAGTTACTAATCGAGATAATGGATGTAATTGGCAGTCTGGAAGAATTATGGCCCTTGATTGTACGAAAAATCGCGTTTTTAGCTTGTGTCACAATTTTTATCCAATTAAAAAAAACGTGTGAATATATCACCGTTACACTATAATGATGGTTGAATTTCTTGAAAATCGGACCAAAACTGGCGGACAAAATGGCCGCCCCGCGTAAGCAAATGGTGTAAACATATGGTATATCAAGGTCGCGGACCCTCTAGATCACAATTGTGATCTGATTTTGATGAAACTTGAAATACATGCTTATAACCCAAAGATCTTGGTTCCTTTCGATATTCGCGCATATTGGATCGTAACTTCCTGAATTATGGCCCTTGGTTGTACGAAAAAGGTCACAATTTTATGCAATTTAAAAAACCGCGTGAATATATCGCTGTTAAACCCTACTGATGGTTGATTTCAAATTTCGTGAAAATCGGACAAAATGGACGCCCCTCGTATGCAAATAGTGTAAAAATATGGCAGATCAAGGTTGTGGACCCTCTAGAGGCCACAGGTTTTATCCGATTTTGATTAAATTTTAAATTTTTGTTTATATCACAAAGACCTTGGTTCCGTTCGATAATCGCGCATATCCGAACGCCAACGTCACTTCCTGGATTATGGCCCCTGATTTTTCGAAAAATCGCATTTTTAGCTTGTATTCAAATGTAACATACGGCTGCCAGGCAAGATACGCCAACATTTTGCAAGAGATGGATAGAAATCAAGCTAAAAAAGCGATTTTTCATAAAATCAGGGGCCATATTCAAGAACGTTGTAGTCTGAAATGCGCAGATATCGACATGGACTGAGCTCTTTGGGATATAAAGAATATATTTAAATTTCATCAAAATCGGATAAACATTGTGACCTCTAGAGAGGGTCCATAACCTTCGTATTACACACTTTTCGAACAAATGGTTACGGGCTTTTACATATGAGCAGTGACAGATTCGGGTATCACCACAATTAAGCAACAACTATTGCAGATATTGAGAGAAAAAATTTAAAAGCACATGAATTTTGATTGAACATTTATTAAAGATAAATGCATTCTGTAAAAAGATAATATAAAATATCCTAACATTAGGGACGACCATCTAACTAAATATACGTGATACGATATTAAACAAATTAAACCCGTCAGTCTTCATCTGAAAATGGAGACCGGTGTCCCAAACTGTATTATACGGTGTCTGAATAACACCAGACTTTTATTTTATATAAATGACTGAAATGCAGTTCCATATTTTAAAAACTCTATATAATTAATGTAAAACAAATAAAATAATACTTTAGAAAAATAAAATGATAACAGTTCAGAATATAATAATATAAAATTAATTTTAAAAAATAATGTAGAAAAATGACAGAAGTTCAATATTATAAATACTATAATAATAGTATTATATTAATAATGATAATAAATACAATAAAATAAATACAATAAAATAAAATAAATACAATAATACCATAGAGGTACGATAGTTTCAATATTATAAATATTACAATAATCAGCACACCTGCCTGTGTTTTTGTCACACCCCCCCCCCCCCCCCCCTAAGCGATCGCCATGTTTCTGCTATAAATTGAAAACAAGTATGGCGGTCGTTTAGGGCGTTACCCTTTTTTAATTTAATTATTTTTGTAGTTCAGCTTTAACAACCACGTTGAATGAACTAAAGCAGACGTAAAATCAATAGCTTGTAGTCTGTGTCATGGTTGTATGCCGTCTATGACTTGCCATGTTTTTATTTTGAAAAATTCATATATTTTTCATATATATTTAGCCAGGTGTGCCGCTATTTTGTCATGTGTTCCAAGGTGTGCCGTTGGCAAAAAAAGGTTGAGAACCACTGCTTTGCACAATTAATACAAGTACAGAATTCAATTTACAGACTTACAGACGGGAAAGATTCTTCATAAGAAATTCGACATCTGATAATTTAGACTTTGCAATGTGCTGATAAATGATGTAATCTCCTATTGACCCATATTCCCCAAGATGACGTTGGCCCTAACCTTCATCGACCACTATTTGTAATGTTAAGTCTATCCTACTCGATAAACAAACTAATGTTTTCCGGTCTAGAAAATGGGGTTAAAGGCTTACAATGTGGTTGCGACATCCTCGGCATCTGTTTTTGTTTTGTTTTTCTTTTTCGATTTAGGATGATCTCTCAATTTCCTAAAAACGTCTAGACGTCGTAATCGCTGATATTCGGCATCTGTTTGTATTTCCTTGGTCTTTTTCTTTTTCGATTTAGGCTGGTCTCTCAATTTTCTGTGAACTTCTAAACGTCGTAAACGCTGAGCTTCGACCAAATTTGAAAAACACAGATAACTGTGTAAAAGTCTGAAAGTAAAATTCGGAAACACTATGAAATGAGGACTACACCTCATTAATTGGGGGTCGGGTAGCCGAATGGTTAACGTGTGCGCGTTGCATCATAAGGTCTACCATTGAGTCAAGTAGTGTGGTTTCGATTCCCTGCTTGTATGTGACAAGGAGTAGGGTTGTCTGTCCAGCCTCGTGGGTTTGCTCCTGGTCTCCGCCCCCCCCCACCGCTAAAGACTCCTTACGCGCGGGCTAATTATTGAATAAAATTGAACCATATTATGTCAGTTCCGAAATGACGTAGTTGGTGTCGAGACGCAATTTCTGGACTATTCAAATCACGGCTAAGGATCAACGATAGCCCAGATCTTTATGTTAAAGATAGGTGTGGGTTTTAACGTCCACTCGACACAAGCTAGGCCATTTCGGGACTAACAATCATTCGCTTGTGCGTAGAGGTCTTTAGCAGTGGGAGGAAACCGGAGGACCCTCGAAGTTGGATAGACGACCCTACTCCTTGTCACGTACAACCGGCAATCGAAACCACGCCAGTTGACTCAATGACAGGCCTTATGATACAGTGCCCACGTGCTAACCATTCGGCCATCCACCCCCACCACCAAACTTGATCTGTAACAAATTATAATGTATTAACATACTTCGAATTTTCGTCTCTATTACATATCACACTTTCACATAAACTTAAGCGAAACTAATGACGTAATTATTTACAAGGCTATATATATTTAAGAACTTAGAACCGTTCTTATGCATGTCGACTTCATAAATAAATAATCATAGGAATTTTAAGTCAGTTTTACATACTTATTCTTGGCTTGTCCCCTGTATGGAGGATGGGTTGGGATATCATCATTTTGGTAGTCCTCATCATAATCATCACCCTGCTAAAGTGAAATATTGTGTGAAAATGTACCACATTAATAACAATCTAAACATAATCACTCGAAAGAAAGAGAGAGAATTATGTTTAGATTGTAATCACTCGAGTGATTATGTTTAGATTGTTATTAAAAGGTTTAACGTGCACATAACACTAATTAGCTAATTACGGGACTATATAATGTTATGTAATAATAAATTCATAAAATTATTCCATAGCCTGAGGCAACTTAAGCAAACACTTGGCTTACCATTAGAAATTATTAACAGTCTTATATAAAAAAATACTTTACTTCGATACATTTTTTTATTCTAACTATTATTAATATGACAGTTGAACCAGAAACCGTGACCCGACGGCCCAAATTTATTGCTATTGCATGTCTGGCTTCAAATGTTATATAAATAATTATGTAAACATTTATTCACATTTATTGAGCGATAAACGATAAAATTTTAATTCAGTCATACAACAGAGACCATTCGAACCTGGGATTTCATTTCAAATTTGCTATTATTATAATTTATCGAGTAGAAAGTTAGGGTGTAATGTATCCTCCTTCTATTACGTAATCATAATCGAGATACCATATTTAAAAATGTATTAAATTATACCTCTTGTGTTTCTTGTTTAACTATTTTCGGTTGTCTGTCTGACATTTTCTGTCCAGCATCTATCTGTCAAATTAAACCAACAGGATAACGATGAAAGAGATAATGAAGAATAATTAAATATTATTTGTGTAGTGTAGTCAACATTAAACTTATCGGGTCTAGGTAGAGCAAAATGGGACAAACTTTGGGTTGAGTACAAGATTCTGAATTGATAAGACTGATTCGGGTTCGTATTTTGATCGAGGTTTGGCTAAAGATGACTGTTTATCTTTAAAAGTACTGTCTAGTATTCGTACCTTGATTGGAGTTTTAGAAACTTGTGTTTTAATACAACCTGGACCTTACGCTTTGTTCTGAATTTAGCCTCCACTCACCTAGATTGGTAAAGATTACATTGTAATGATTATTGATAATATTACCTTTTTAATCTCGTCTAAAATCTGTTTAAGTTCGTCCCTTCGGTTCAATGTGTACTTAGAATCAATCTAAAATGGAAGACCGTTTTTATACTTTAAATATGATTAAATAAATGAATGAAATGAAATATGGTTTTATGGCATGTTAGCACCAACCGAGCGATATTGGGACAAATGTATGGTGTTTAGGCTAAACTATATCACAGGAAAAATATACACATAAATAAAAACAATATCACCGTAGTAAGTAAAAAATTGAAAATAAAATAAATCTTAAATCTTTTATGCATATAAATATTTAAAATACAAAAATGAAATGACATATATACAATTAAAATTTATGATAAAATCCTACCCCTTTTAAAAAAAAGTAACACTTCAATATATAAACTCGGTTGGGCAAACAGATCATGCAAAGTATGGCTACAGTAGTATGTTTTTCTTAATCTTTGAGATACTCGCACTCGATCAAATGCGCTTAACTGTCTACGGAACTTGATATTCTGCTCACATTCTGGTTGAGGCTCTCGCTTTAAAATGACAAACGGTTGTCATGCAAGATACGCACATTTTGCAAGAGATGGACAGAGAACAAGCTAAAAAAAGAAGCGATTTTTCGTACAATCAGGGGCCATAATCCAGGAAGTTATGGTCCGATATGTGTGAATATCTGCAGAAACCTAGATTTTCGAGATATGAACATATTTTAAGTTTCATCAAAATCAGATAAGGGGCAGTCATTCTGTTCTTGCAGTTTCGGTCAGATTTTTATGAAATTCGAACTCAGCCTTCATTGATGTGTAAAGGTGATATTTATATAAACATTTTTTAAAATGGAATACAAATTGTAACCTCTAGTGGGTCAACAAGCAAAAAATGCGATTTTTCGAACAACCGGGGGCCATAATCCAGATAGGCGCGTTCGGATATGGGTGAGTATCGAAAGGAACCAAGATCTTTGAGATATAAAGATAAATTTAAATGTTTCATCAAAATCGGATCAAAATTGTGGCCTCTAGAGGGTTCACAACCTTGATATACCATATTACGTACGATGAGCGGCCATTTTGTCTGGCAGGTTTGGACTGATTTTCACGAAATTCACACCCAACCACCATTAGGGTGTAACGGTGATATATTCAAAAAAAAAATTTAATCGGATAAAGATTGCAACCTCTAGAGGGACCACAATCTAAAAACGTGATTTGTCGTATATCAAGGGCCATAATTCAATATGCGCGAATGACGAAAGGAATCGAGATGTTTGGGATATAAACATATTTCAAGTTTCGTCAACATCGGATAAAAATTGTGACCTCTAGGGGGTCCACAGACTTGGTATTCCATATGTTCACACTATTTGCGTACGAGGGGCGGCCATTTTGTCCTGCAGTTTTGGTTATATTTTTACGAAATCCGAACTCAACCATCATAGGGTGTAACAGTGATATATTCAAACGGTTTTTTTAAATCGGATAAAAATTGTAACTTCTAGAGGGGCCACAAGCTAAAAACGTGATTTTCCGTACAATCCACAAGCTTAAAACGTGATTTTTCGTACAATCTGGGGCCATATTCGATGAAGTTATGGTCCGCTACATGATAAAATCGAGAGGATATTGGGAGATATTTCACGTTTCATCAAAATTGTGACCTGTAGAGTATCCGCAAACAACTTGTGGACGGACGGACGGGGGCGACATGATGATCGGGATTCCTTTATTCCCCGCGTATTTTTTATTTGTACTTTAAAATCCTGAAGCAGAGGAATGTAGAGCAAATGGCTAGACCAAGAGAGGAAAAAGAATCTGTGGTAAGATGTACATAAGTGGGTGAATCGTCATTTAACAAACACGAATTATTCATGCTTACCTCTGTTATTATCATCTGGACTACCCCAGAGTGAATGATGACCATTGAAATCTCCCGTAATTCTCTGAGCCCCCCCGCCACTACTAAAGACCCCTATGAACCATATGTTAGTCTTGAAATGACCTAGATTTTGTCAAGTGGACGTTGACCCCCATTTCTCTCTGTTATATTACCTTTAGTTCCAGGCGCTGAATACTTTTTACAATCTCGGATAAGGGTTGATGTATATCAACTCTTCCCGACGTCGCTCTAGACTGATACGTATTAACAGTAATGGGTGATCTACGAGTTTCGTTAATATCATTTGTAGCCTCATAATTTACACTGTGGTCCACGTCATCGACTTTATCATCCTCAGCATAATAAACATCACTTTTTTCAGCCATCTTACTTGACATTGTCGTGCCTTTATCTTCTTTATTAGTTGTTGATGACCATTTGGTAGGTTGGTGACTTAAATAGTTTAAAATTTCGTTTATAAAATTTGGGGAATGCTCACTTGTCCGCGGATGCACTAGTCCGCGGGTTCATTAGTCCACAGATATCTATTATTAGGGTTGGGTTAGGGTTAGGTATGTGTGTGTGTGTGTGTGTGTGTGTGTGAGTTAGTTGCATTTGACGTCCGCTTCCACCGAGGTGATATCGCAGACAATGGGTTAGGTTTATTGATACCCATATTTATAGTGTTTCTTATAGCGGCTGACTAGTGAACCCCTCTCTTATATTTCAGATATGCCGTTTGTAGAATGCAAACGATACGCTTTACATTATTGCAGTGTCATGAATTATGACAATATATAGTACAATGTTACTGATACTTTGCTCGTGTAATATTTCATTTAATTATTTAAATAAAAAAAACCTCGTTGACATTGTATTCGCTGAGAACAGATTAATTGAAGATACATTATGTTCAGATTTAGATAAAGAGCTAGCCATTCTTGGTATAACAGTTCGAAAAAAGATAATGTAAAATGAATAATTTGAGAATTTCATTCAAATTACTCTGTCGCGAGCTACGATATAAGCCTTCGAAGGTTTGACAATACGTGTGCAATAATTTCAACCACCGCACTGGTTGTTCGAAGCTAAGTCTCGCTCCTCCATTTTGAAATTAAATCAAAATATGGCTAAACCGCTCTAATCTATTTAATATCGGAGAAATCCGATGCCATCGAGAGTTGATTATGGCCTGGGTCAGTTAATTGATGTCTAATTAATAATTTAGAAAACATTTCAGGCCTAAAGAAAGATCTGCAATAAATAGATTCAGCTCTTGCATAATGTATGTTTAAGTTAGTCTACAACAAGATACTGCTAATAAAACGCCTCTTATTATTTTAAGGGTGGACTAATTTTGAACTAATGCGCACCGATGAAATATGTCTTTAAAATAACGATGCGTCGCTGGCATTTGTCGCCAACATATCAAATGTCCCACGGCTTAATCCATGATAATATGTACTTTAACAATTGATAATGAAAACAAAATCCTAAATCACCCACTCAAAAATGCCCCGGCTCGGATTCAATGGGATTTAAAACAGGTCTATCATTAAATGTTTGTGGACACAAATTGGTGGTAGGCTTATTAAACAGAATAGATCGATGGAATTTCAATTTCACATATCTTTGTAAATTTGCTGAACAGAATTGAACCATTAGTGGACTGATATTCCTATTAGAGAGTCATCTTTAACATTCTTGTAGTTTATAAGTGATTCATATTGATTAAAATGGAGCACTAGGGCCATGTGTCTCGAAATCTTAACTAAAGATAAAATCCAAATTTTACTAGATACTTCAAGTTTGATTGGCTAAGCACTAAAATCAATATAATATTTTAGTTAAAATTTCGTGAAACAGGTCCCAGGACTTCAAGCTAAAATAAAACCCTACCTGTTTGTATTTGGAAGATGATTATAATTATTTTGAGCAAGATGTGGATTTCTTTTCAGTAGATCTACACACTTTTTAGCCTTGCTCTTTTCAGCACGAGAGTACGACTGGTTTACTTCATCGGTGAGTGCTTCACCTGCAAATCAAAATGACCAAAAAGTCATAACGTGAACTCGCTGGATTGTAAATCAAAATGATCAAATAGTCATAACGTGAACAAAGCAAGCGTTGCTTTTCTCTCACTGGTTTGCAATTTTAATGATGACTTGACATCTTAGCTTCGTGTTGGTTATTTTTTGTCTTCGCGCTGTTGAATCATAGCGAAGCGAAGCCGCAATTACGATTAGTACCGTATGTAGTGGCGAAGGCACAATGCAGGTAACGCGAAGGCAAGAAAGGGCACGGGGAAACTTATCGTCTTCCGTAGTTGCATGTATGGTAATACTATTTATTAAAATGAAGATCATCGGCCCATACGTTTTCAGTTAAAGAAAGGTAATAAACATTGCTTTAACAGTTACAAAAACCAGTAATATTTACAGTTTCATTTTTTCGAGCCAAACATTTCTATAGGGAATTAATTACCTTAACAGCCTATAATACTGTTTTTATTGGGCTGATATTAATAATCATACCCAAGCAAGATGCCTACCAAATTAAAACAAATGCTCCCAAGCAGGCTTAATATTCCAGCTATTGATGTGCTATTTTAAGTTCCCTGAGAAAATGTTTTACTTGGGTGCGTTCCTTAAACTAATCAACTTTATTTTAAACACATTAGCATCAATATCACCAAATATCCAACATTCTTACAAAACATTCTTAAATTAGGTTCTCTGACTATTAGAAAATGTCTAAATACGCCCTTTCGTTTTACTAATCAACACAATAGCATGGATATCAAAAATCCAGCATTCTAAATTAGGACGGGTGATCTTCATGTGAACCAACCAGAATAAGTACCACCAAACCAACAGAACTACAAACATATTATGGGAAAATATATGTTTCCCCTTTCAAGGTGCTCCAGATGAACTTTATTTGGACATATTTGAATATCTCCAATATTTGCTTGTGGAAAAGAGGAATAAGTTGGATAGGGTTACGATGTCCCCTTTAAAGTAAACCCACAATCACCCCTATGAAATTCATACCATGCTTGTCCTTTTTTGGTTCTTGGTCTACTTTATTCTTACAGTCAACTGGATGTATGCAGACAATTAGTCTATACAGATGCTCGAAGAATATAAAAGGAGGTGGAAGAATTGGTCTTGTTTCGTATTCCGTGACACGTTCGTAACGTTGATAACCCCAGTGTGGATATGAATCGTCCTTGATGGCTGTTATGGTTGAGCTATTGAAGTAAACAGAAAATAAACACACATTATTTAGGCGCAATTTCTTCATAGAGGCTATCTGATTTGATCAAATTTGCTATTATTGGTATTGCGGATATCGCTTCAAAGTATTCCTGGTAGATCACACTGATTTGCGTGTTACTTTCGTTGTGTTTAAGAATTATAATGATCATTACTAAATTACAAATAAATGACAAATTTAAACCATCTCAACAAAAGTCAACAAACATTACTATTACCTTGAAAAATGAAATAAGCGTTGAATTTTGGCACACTATACTTTTGCCAAAATATTCGTGTGTTTGTTTTTTAAGGTAAAAAATATATGTAGTTGTGATAATAACTTTACCTGAACATGGCTATGAGGAGATTCAGCAGCAAAACATTGATCAGGAAGATGTAAATTGCGAGTAACACTGGTGCTATATACTTCCCCACTTCAGTTGGACATCTTAATTGGTCGTAGTCATCATACAGGTTAGGATCATTGGTACACTGACTCTCTCCTGAATTATACATACACACGATATATAGCATACGACATAGGGAATATGAGCATCATATAGATTAGGATATTGGTATACGGCATAAGATCATCATACATATTAGTAACATTGGTACATTGACTCTCTTCTGAATTGTGCATACACGATATAGGGTATAAGATCCTATTTGTCCTTATTTTTGCAAAGACTGGTTGAAATCACCGAACCTAATATCTCGTATCTTATAATAACATAAATGCCAATTTGTACAGCTCCGCAGCCCCTACAGAAATTGAGCTCGAACAGCAGGGCCGGTGGGTGCAATTCATGATTGGGAGGGTGAGTGCTATCATCCTATGACTTTATGCGAGGGTCCAAGAGCCGCGTGGGCCCCGAAGCTTCCGGGGTCTAGACTGTGTACTGTCTAGAGGTCCCATTTTTTTACGATTTTGATGAAACTGACAATATATGTTAATAAACGGAAGCCCTCGGTTTCTTTTGATATTGACGCATATGGGACTGTCACATCCAATATATACATTTTTAGTTGGTGGACATTTTACAGCTCATGGTTTTTATTTGATTGTAAAAACCGTTCAAATATTTCAACACAACATCATAATATCGGATGAGTTCAACATTCGTGAAAATCGGACCGAAATTGCCCGACAAAATGGCTTCTAACCTTCAAATCACGCAATAACATGTTGTGGACAAACCAGAGGTTCGAATTTTGATATATCCCAAAAATCTGGGTTTCTTTCGATATTGACCAGTATTCGACCGTAACTTTCTGGATTATGACCACTGGTTGTCCGAAATATCACTTGTTTAGCTTGCGGACCCTCTAGAGGTCACCATCTGTATCTTTCGTTCAAATGTATCACTAGCTCTTTGATGAAGTTTGTGGAGGCGAAAATTTGTGCCCGATTCATCAGATGAAACTTAAACTACGTCTTAAGGATCAAATACAGCCGCAATAACATGTTGTGGACCAACCAGAGGTTCGAATTTTGATATATCCCAAAAATCTGGGTTTCTATCGATCATGACCCGTATTCGACCCGTAACTTTCTGGATTATGACCACTGGTTGTCCGAAATATCACTTGTTTAGCTTGCGGACCCTCTAGAGGTCACCATCTGTATCTTTCGTTCAAATGTATCACTAGCTCTTTGATGAAGTTTGTGGAGGCGAAAATTTGTGCCCGATTCATCAGTTGAAACTTAAACTAAATCAGACCTCGTTGTATCTAACGCATAATGAGACTAGCGTGCAATAACCTGAAGAAGGGACTATTCACAGCCAAATTATTGGGGGTGCTAAAGCGCCCCCCCCTCCACTCCCCGGGCCTGTCGAACCGTTTTTTAATGACGCTGGGATTACTCCATTTTCTTTGAATGATTTAGTATAGGCAATTTCACACAGATCGATTAACTGGCTAGTGTGAATAGTTTCAAAAAGGTTCCAAGATAACCCCTTTCCTCAAAGTGTCACCATTCTAGAAAAGTGAAATAAAACGCGTGGAGTAAAATATATATTATATAAATTGAAATATCGTTTTTGTTATTGATCCCTTATTTACAAATCATACTTGATTCTGTAACACCCCTCTACGAAAGGGGATATACCTACCTTCAATATCCTCCAAAAATAATTCCCCATAGATTTGCCAGTAGGCCTTCCTTAGTAGGTGGTAAAGTAGCTTCCACGATAATTTAGAGTTTGGATATAAAAGAGCCTCGGATGAAATGGCATATGCAACAACAAATATCAGTATTATTAACACAAAGGGAAGTAAGTCCTGGGTTACCTGTAAAAATATATAATATACTTTAGTTGTAGGCTTGTAGTCCATCTTATTATTAGTCAGAAAAGGTATATTCTTGCACGCGTTCGAATTTGTCATTGCCAGTTCATTTCATTTTGCTGCGGACTCCCTTTTGTCCTACACAAAGGAGCGGGGCCGTTGGTAACGTATCCACGCTGCTAGAATCATTTCGATAAAACGATTTTAACGTACGCCGATATTACCACCTTAACCTTAAAAGTTTCCATTTTTTAATACCTGCATACCTACGAGGGCTGGCTGAAACGTTCTAAGCCTATCCGTGCAAAACCGTATAAAGTCGACGGTTTTCATTTATTTTTTCTACATAGGCCCCTTCAATGTACACATTTTTGTCCATGATGTTGTAAGGTCCACATACCGGTCAAGAAGAAAATCCTTCAGCCAGTCTTTATAAAACGTCGTTCGCAGCTTACATGACGCCATCATTGCTAGGTGATGGTTACAATCTGGTCAAAAAATTATCAGGAACTGCTTCAATTTGGTGCTTATTGTCACGAGACGTCAGGAATCTGACACATTTCTTATCTGTAACTAAGAACGTTAGCACCCATCTTGCTAAAACTGTTGTTATTCCTAACTCATTGGCGATAATGTGCTCAACCCTCTCATATAAGCGATGCCCACAACACTGGCAACTGGGTAATGATTTCTTGAATGGTTGCTGTTGATGGCCTTCTAGAACGCGGGTCACCATCAAGGCTCTCGGCAACCCACTTCTTTACTGTATGTATCTGCATGTATCTGTGTTGAGGTTAACCCTTCCAGCTGCAGGTACTTGATGACTGTCCAAATCCAGTTTTGTTAAATTCTGGTGATTTCAATTTGCAGGTGTACAAGATGGTCTGGTAGGAAGACAATAATGACACTACAATGGTCGTACTGTTTTGCGGCAAAAATTTGTGTCAACCCCATTGATTTATTTTTTTCAAGTTTGAAACTGTTCAGCCAGCACTCATATTTAAAGGACAATATTGGTGCCAGTCATTATCACATATAACAACTTTTGGTCTTTGAAAGAATTATTAGTGATCAGAAATTCGCCCGTGTATCTGTTATCAATCGTCACTTCAGTCAGTTATATAGAGGGATAACTCGTGTTTTCATTTTGCGTTTGTCACTTCCAATTGTTGAAGCATTGATTACCCATATCTATCGTAGCAATGATCTCTGTGACAAAATAATATTTGGAACGTGCTTAACCAATTCTATCACATATGTGATAATGACTGGCACCAATATTGTCCTTTAAAAACATAAAAGGCATTATGCCGCAGATAACGCTAAACTGAACTATACGTTCCATGAAGCTTCGGTCCCACTGAGTATAAAAATCATGGGTTATGTGGAAATAAACAAATTTTCTTCCGATGACTCCCGTTGCTCTCGACATTTTTGCCATAATCCCATTCGATATGGCTCCTTTGTAAATATCTTAGGAAAATTCGGTTTAACAGTAATCGGAAATGCATCTTTCGAATCGTGTAATACCGGGCATACCATGCACGTAATGTGTGTAAATTCCCAAACACCCAGGATTGTTAATAAATACTCACCATTCGGCCAATCATTACCAACTGTGGTCCTAATTGTACAGATCCCAGGAATATATACAGCACACGGATAAAATAAACAAGCAGGACGAAACACATTACAACCCTGGACAACTCAAAACTGTCCTCATTTGCACGAAGAATCATCCCGATAGTAAAAGCGATTATTGCTATAAAATCTAATACATTCCAGAAACCTATATTTGTAATACTGTCGTCGTTACGGCGCTCTGAAAACTTTAAAAAAAAATATCATTCTTTAAGGTGGGGATTAGGTTAACATTCTAATGTCCTGCACTAAGCAGGCTGTTTTGCCCGGGCAGCGGCGTTGTTGCCGAGACAGCCAACGGTTCCTGCGGAACTTTTTCGGCCAATACTGGAATCAAAATCCAGTCAACATGGTTGGTGAACCATCGCCATATTCATTAGACCACAATGGCACACTCATTTAAATGAAATGGGGTTTAAAGTCCTAGTGTCCTGCTCCAACTAGGCTAATGAAGTCGGATACTCGTTTAAAACACGGATTGTATTTTATAATTTAATATGAACCCGATGGCTAAGCAAATCCCATTGTCTTATCGGAAATCACATGCCCATGTGGAGAGTCGCGATAGTTCCAGCAAAGGTTATTGTATTAAATTTATTTATATCATTCAGTTTCTTGATTAAGTGCTTAGACTGACACACCCATCGATTACTGAAAAGCAACTTGGTTATAGTATTAGCTTTAAGTAAGACATTGTTAGTATCTTAAAAGTTTTGCTTGGTGGCAAGCGGTATTCGAACGGGGAGAGAAGAAACAATAATAATTTTGTATCTGACCTATAGAAAAATGGCTATTACCCTGACCCAAACAAGGGTCTAAGGGATACCAGTGAATATGAATATGACCACCAACCAAATTTATGTAGAGCACAAAGCCCCCCACCCCATTCCCCAGATCGTATTAATCCATTAATCACGAGAAAGAAGATCAACACGTTTTCGAAAGTTCTGATATATAAATCAAAATCGGATATTTGTGTTCATGCTGTTCCAAAAATTACGAGGACATGTCTGACAAATTAGACAGAGAAGTTTTAAACTGTAGTAAGTCATAAAAAATATTAATTTTATGTTCAATTTATTAAACGCGTAACTGCCAATTGCGTGGATTCATCTTGGCCAAACGTGTATGATGGATAATTTTAAAAGCGAGAGAGAAGAAGGAACAGGACACTACCCGCTACAGATTATGGATACGGCTGATCTAGATGACAACGACATGCCCTGAAGTGGACGGACGGGGCCAACTTAAGATGCGATAATTAGTAAGGAAAACAGACTGTAAATGTACATCCTCATCACCCACCTAAATTAGCAGAAATCTTCTCTCAAAGCTTCTGATTTTATCAAATTTGCGGGTAGTTTCCCCCGAACTAACGCGAGACTTGACGTTGTCTCCTCCCAGGACCCCTGCTGGACAAGCCCCTACATGTCTCATAATAGTAATTCTACAACAATATGACATACCTGTCGAATCTCTTCGCAGAGGAAAGTGAACACCCAGAAACAGAGCACACCTTCATTACTCGAGAAAGACGGCTTAAACGAAACCAACATGTAATAACTAAACACGCCCAAAAACACAAAGTAGGATCCCTGAAATAAAATTGTTTACTACGTTTTAATGGAAGGGATAAAAAAAATATGCGTTAATCTGCATGAATTAATTTCAATAACTTGCTACTTTATGATCGGCATATCGATGATTATTAAAGTAGCCAAGTCTCTAATTTAATATAATCCAAAGTCGTATACGTTGAAAACACGAATTATTTGTCAATTTAAATCAACATTGATGTTGTTATCTTACCGGGAAAAGGAAGGCTTCTGATATCCAATATTTAAGACAAAATAAACATTTTACCATTGGTAATTCGTGTACCATAGTGCGTTTCATCGTCATTTGTAACAAGTGACCAGAAAGAGCGAGGCTAGACATATTCGACAACTCATGTCATACGGCGACGCCATGACTTACCAGGAGAGCATGCGCAATAGACTGGAATAACCAGACGCTAGAAATTTCTATTCGGTTGAGACTCATGCCATATTTCGCTGGACCTAACTGATTTGAAATCAGAGTCAAAACGGAAACAATTGAATGTAATTCAGTTCATATACAATCAGATTACATTATTATTGGCGTTGCAACCCATTTGGGTCAATTTCTAGGTCCCTAAGACACTTCCCTAAGCCATGCAGGAAGAACGCCTATATTGCATTAGTCTTATCGAAACTTGAGTACGGAAGCGTCGTCTGAGACCCCTACTTGAAAGGAGACATCGACCGCTTGAATGGAGAGGATCCAAAGATCAGCAGCACGATTTATAACGGGCGACTATAAATCCAGGAAGGAAAGATACGTCACTAATATGCTCAAGGAAATGGAACTGCAACCACTTGAGGAGAGACGCCGTCACTAGCGATTGACGTTCCTATTTAAGGTGGTTGAAGGGCACGTACCAGCCATTAACAATGATCACTACCTCAAGGATAAGGGCTGAAGAGAACTATTAGGGCTAAACAATTTGAAAACTATGTAAAAACTAACATCGTAGAAAACTCAGTGAGTAACAACAAGTGCTTCCAGCCAATTAGTTCTAAAAGTCACATATTCAAATACTCATACTTTGTACGAACTGTATACGACTGGAATAAACTCAGTGATGATACAGTGAACTCAGAGTCAATCGAATTATTCAAATCTAAACTAGAAAACATTAATTAGCACACCCCATCCGTCGTGCAAAAGCCAGTAATTGGCATCTACGACTATTCATTCAGATTCAGATTCCACATATTAGCGATTTAGCTCCTTTAATTGATATTTCTATAATGATCATCCCAACTAGAATTCAATATACGGTTGTTTTATAATCACAATAATGGATATACATAGATTAGTTGGATAGGTCAATCTAAAACGTTTGTCAAGCAATCATTTTCTATGTGGTTACGTAAAATATTTCAGCACAATTAACAAGTTCTGCGCTTTTTAAATGCACAACGATTCGGGTCGTCAACATGATGCGCATTATTAATGTAAAGATTGATGTTATTTCAGTGCAGAAAATAAGATTTGTCCGTAATGACCCGTCTTATACGACAAGGATTGCACAATTATTTTCATCATTATTGTCTAAAAGAGATTATGATGTCGGTGTGAAATCACCAAAAGCCAACGTAAACCTCAAATAGCCATAACTTATGTTAGAATTTATCAATTTGAATTTTGGATCCAAATCGGTTTATTAAGACATGTACAGCGTAGTAATATCATGTCACGGCTACCAAAAAACATATAGTACGATGCTGTAGCTCAAAAGTTGTAGCTCAGCAGATCGAATATGTGAGCCTATCCTGGTGACAGGGCTACCAGAACGAATATGTACCCCTATCGATCCTGTGACACAGCTTTCAAAATTCTTGACTTCACGTTGTGTTCTTTTCATATGAATTGTGTGGTCGGGGGGATTATTTATAGAAGATCTTGTATTACAAACTGTTTTTGTACTCACTGCATTTAAGATATACTTTACTTTAGGTTTGGAAAAATAACATAGCATTTCTTCTCGTAGGTCCTCAATACATATAAGGCATAGCAATGTAATCGGCATGACGATAATCTGCAGAAATAAAATACAAACCTAGTTATGTATCAATTTAATTGTACTGGCCTCAACGGTAGATTTAAAAAAACGTAAAGGTTTTGGAAATACCAGAGGTCAAAGTAAACAAAGTAGAAAGAACTGCATACAAATCTCGTTCACAAAGCTTTGTTTGATCAAGATTAGCCATTTCCCAAATAATTCCAACACTTTCGAGATACGTAGACATATCAGGTTGGAGAATTGTATTTTGGAGAATTCATTGGCAATAACTCTACAGACTAATATTCTGTCAATATGAATGGTCAACATAAATTTTGAAATTGCATACACTCGTCAATCTTTCGGTAACATGTGTTGGGCAAAATATGTGCTGTATCAGTAGGTCAGCTGATTTCAAGTTCCTCATCAACTCGCCTGCAGTAACGATTATATGTTGGAAGGCATGTGTATCAAATGTTTACTCGGAATACACTTCGTTCAGCATGACGTTGGGATTCAAATATTGGTCAACATGTTACCGAGAGGCTGGTAGTAAGTGGGAACCACTGGTGTACACGCTACTCATATCATAATACTAATACGTTGACGAACCCAAGTTAAAATTCGAACTCATCCTGAAACCCGTTGGTTATATTTATTCCTTCATCATCATTTACATCCTTAGACTTCCATAAATCCTTGAAGCGATTCATCCATCATAAGAAAAAACAAAATTTACTTGGTTACGGTATTATGTTAGAACTGCCTACGGTTGAATGATTTACATAAGTAGCTATAACATACTTACTAGTAGCAAAGTCGTTATTAAACACGTTATTACAGATACGTCATTCCCCCATCTTGTATCAAGTATGTCCTGGCACGGTGTTTGGGATATGAACCTTTTATTTCTAACCTTTGCGGAAAGGTGCAAACAAGTTTTCTTTTCCCAATTAGGTAACTGACGTGTTAGGATGTGATAAGACTTCTTATCCTCGTAAAATGAATTAATGACGTATACTGCCAAACCTGTAAATTCGCTAGAAAATAAACAACCATAATCAGAATTTATTTGAGCAGTGGGGAAAACCGGACGACCCGGAGGAAGTCTTCGGGGTCAGGCCGGCAAGTGTGAGATCGAAACCACGCCACTTAACTTAATGACAGAATTTATGATCTAAAGCACACGGGTTAGATCACTCGATTCCTCCTCCCTAATGGAAAAGATTATGGATAAAAAAAAACCTCGCTTAGAGTTATGGAGAGAAAGAGAGAGAGAAATGTGGTTTAACGTCCACTCGACACAAACTAGGTCATTTTGGGTCTAACATATGGTTTAATTTTATTTCAATAATTCGTAGGGGTCTTTAGCAATGAGAGGAAACCGGAGGACGCGGAGAAAACCCACGAGGTTGGACAGGCGACCCTACTCCTTGTCACGTACAACCGGGGTCTTAAAGTTATAAGATCTATCGGTATATCATTAACATCTCTAGTCAAAATTGGAACACAATCTTTACTGTCTCGGTTGGAGAATTAGAAACCGGTTCAAGTTCGCAGTGGAATAGCGTTTTTGTTTTGGCGGATTCATTCGTTGCAAGTTATCTCTACTATTATTTTTTTATTATTTTTAAAGCTTGTAAATGATTTATAACAAGAGATTTTAAAACAAAACTAACTCAGCTTGATTTGTTATCATATGTCTTTAGAACACGACCGCCATTGTCGTTCTAGTGTCTGTGTTAAAGGACAATATCGGTGCCAGTCATTATCACATATGTGATAGAACTGGTTAAACACGTTCCAAATATTTTTTTATCACAGAGATCATTGCTACGATAGATGAGTAATCAATGTTTCAACAATAGGAAGTGACGAACGCAAAAGGAAAACACGAGTTATCCCTTTATATAACTGAATGAAGTGACAGGTAATAACAGATACATGGGCGAATTTCTGCTCACTAATAATTCCTTCGAAGGCCAAAAGTTGTTGTATGGGACTGTGAAAGGATATCTGACAATTCATAAACAAAATTGACTTTCACTAGATAAAAGAACATGAAAGAAAAATAGAAAAAGTCCGTGCATTACCATGTTTTTATAAGTATATAATGAATTAACACCCGTGAATGTACGGACTGTTTCTATTTTTCTCGTGTTCTCTTATCTAATGACATGCAATTACTTTTTTGGAATTGTCAGATATACTCTTACAGTCCCATATAACAACTTTTGGTCTTCGAAGGAATTATTAGTGAGTATAAATTCGCCCATGTATCTGTTATCACCCGTCACTTCATTCAGTTATATAAAGGGATAACTCGTGTTTTCCTTTTGCGTTCTTCCCTTCCTATTGTTGAAACATTGATTACTCATCTATCGTAGCAATGATCTCTGTGATAAAATAATATTTGGAACGTGTTTAACCAGTTCTATCACATATGTGATAATGCCTGGCACAAATTTGTCCGTTAGACAGTGTCTTTTGTTAATTATTGTTATAAAACTTACTCATTAATCTTGTTGAACTCTGCTAAGTTTTCCTTTTCATTGTCACCCAAAACATCAGTCACTAACTCACAAAACCCATTCACGAAAATGGCAGCTGCTAATGGTTCCTAGTGTAAAAAAGTTAGTAGTGTTGTATTCGTATTACCAGAGCCGGTGGGACACTTGTCCAGGGGCCCAGAGCTTAGCGGAGCCATGAGCTATGTCGATTACTGTTGTTTTTTTTTGGTATAAATTAATAATAAAAATATAGTGTTACTAGATCGTCCAGAAGCAGACAGCCGGTGACTTTTCTGAATGTTGGTACCGAGATGCGCGAGTAGGATAAGGATCGATTGCTGTCAGTCCCCATTTTTAGTACAGGTATTTGGCATATCATAATATGTTGTTGTGTTACATCTCAGGGGTGTAACAAGGTGACCCGGGCCCTTATTTCCCAAGATATACGCCAAACTATAGAGCGCGACGGAAGAGAACCTCTCCGAATCCCCCCTGCGTATCGTGAAGAATTAAAAGGCGCGTGAAATGAAATGACATATGGTTTAATGTCACTTCAGTACCAACCGGGATATATTACGCCAAACATGTGATTTTTTTTAAACACGCTAAATCATATCACAAATCTGTCTCTTTTAAAAAGTTTAGCATTTCACAATATAACCCAGGTCGGGCAAACAAGTGTTGTAGTGACTAGCAACGGTAATATCGTTATCTTGTATGTTTGAGATGCTTGCACTCAATCAAAATGTGGTTAACTGCCAGAGGAACATAACAGTGGTCCCATTCTGGTCGACGCTCTCGCCTCAAGATGAAAATATGAGTTAAAAATAATGACCAATGCGAGAGCGACCCCCCCCCCCCCCCAGTTGGTTCTATAGGAGTTGGGCCAATTTCCGAAGAGAGGCTTTATGTGCCTGCAAGATCTCAAGACCGTAAAAGGGATGATGGTGGAGATGATGACGATGATGATAATAATAGCTGCTACTAATACTATAAGAAAATTTTCTTATTCTACATATAAAAATATATTTGAAATTAAACTTAACGAGGCATTAAACCGCCTTCCAATTCATTCGTGAGGCAATTGCGAAATACAAGATGTGAATAACATATATATACTGATTCTATGTCCCTGATTGCGTATGGTGTTGAGCCCTTTGAGATACGACTTGCCCGTAGACTCGTACACAATTCACCCATAATCGAGATTCGATATGACACCCTTACATTGTTGTCTCGTATTTTTCACGGAATCCAGTATTGCTCTAGGAAGATTGGTGTCTACAAATCTATCATACGGTTATTGACAATAACTACCTTATAAATGCTTTCGTAGGAATACAGCTTTAAAGAGGCTAACCGGTTATGTACACACCCTACCTGGTTAGGTTGATCTAAGTGTATTTCTCACCTATAATACATTCTACGGTAGATATCGCTTGTGTGATAAATATCATAATCTTTAGGAGATATCGCTTTACATGAATTTGATTGGTCAATCAAAATGGAACTACTTTTTTTTCAAAGAACAGTTCATTTTATTTTTTTTTATTAAAAGTAACTTCTTTCTTATTAAAAATGAACTATTTTTATTTAATTGACCTTGATGGAAACACTGGGTTAATATAAAGGAGTTTGCAATGGTTGAATTGCTGTCAAAAAATGATGTATCACTACGCCATAATGTAATCAGGTTCAGTAAAAAAGTGAAATCTATAACAAAGAGTTACATTTATTTATTTGTGCATGTAAGAAGGGATTGGGTGATAAATAAAATCTCCCAATCGCCTTTTTTGATATCAAAAAAGACTCGTAGGAGATTCTCTATATATACAGATGATACAGATTAATGACTGAATGAAATTAAGTTTTACGACACGTCGACTTCATCCGGGCTATATTGAGCTATCCTATGGTGAAATATCAGACATGCTAAATTAAAGCAGTTTTCATTAACATAAGTATAAATACAAAATTAAAAAATATTTATCACAATGGTATATAAATATTTAAAATATCAAAATTAAAAGATACATAATTTATGATTGTAATAAAAACTTGTCTCTTTGGTCTCTTTGAAAAAAAGGGAGACCCGTTTGGGCAGATACATTCTATAATGCCTGGCAAAAGCAATATTTGTATCTTATATATCATTGAGATAATTGCGCTCATTCAAAATGTGCTTCATGGTATGATACATATTAAACATAGTAACACATCATCAACATTTACGGTTATTTATTTATGATGATATTCATTTCGTTGTGAAATGCCTGAAAGTGGTCTAAATAATATTGACTCGAGTTTAAAAAAAAAATTGAAATGTGGTTTAACGTCCTACTGTCCTGCTGCTCCGACTGGGATAGTGAAGACAGCCATACAGACTGCGGCGCTACGGACTACACTTATTCTCATATAATTCCAACTACCAACGGATCTTTTACGTGTACGCCAAATGAATACACCGGACCTTGGGTTTCGTCCTTGTCAGGCCCTCCGCCCTGCACTTCAGGCCCTCCGCTCTGCACCACTGACAAGGGGAAACCACGCCGGAAAATCCTCGATGAACTTTCCCGGCCCATGACTAGTGATAAATCATATGCTATCTTGATCGATTCAAGTCAAAGATTTGAAGTGCTTTACGCAGAGTCTGGTTATTATTCAAATAACGACAAGAACCCCCTTTAAAGTATTTAAAACAAATAATCACTTGAATTATACTAACGTTAGTTTTGTAAATTAAAAGGGTCATACCTCTAATTCTAACCAAAATAATTTAGCCAAGTCTTTATTTCTTATGACGAGACTCCATACAAACAAATCTATACATCTACAGTTTTCCTTACTCTTCTTCTCCTCAACTAAAACAAAAGTAATATAGCAAAAGTTTGGACGATGACAATGCATGCCAATTGTCAGAAATCCGTTCGCACGGTGGAGTACAGTCCCGAATTAAGCTAGTGCATATGTTATAAGCTCCAACTACTGTGTAAAATAACACCAATTGAAACACACAGTATGCAAGAGCTTAATCTACTTATTGCAGGACTTTCTTTAGACATTAATTAATTTATCCAGGTCATAATCAACTCATCGCTAGCCTGCGATGTTTATTGGATTAGGTCCAGATTTGCTGTTCGACTTTCATTCATGATTTAATCATGAAATGCATAATCGAGGCTATGATTTTATCGTACCGACATTAGTAATGATGATCGAGGCTAGGACGAAAATTCAATCGCTAAAATCTCGGTTCAGAGTGGATCAATTTGACTGAAATTTTCAGCAATTTCTCTTTACATCATCTAATTTTTATACGCCCACATTTTCATGTGGACGTATTATTATGTGGACAATTGTTTGTGGACTCTCTACAGGTCACAATTCTAATCCGATTTTTACGACACTTGACATATAGGTTTATCTTCAAAAGATCTCGACTGCTTTCGATATTGGCATGTATCGGATCGAAACTTCATGGATTATGGCCCCTGATTGTACGAAAAATCACGTTTTTAGCTTGTGGAACCTATAGAGGTCACAATTTTTATCCGATTTCGTTGAAACTTGAAATGTAAGTTTATAAACCACAGATCTCGGTTCCTGTCGATATTCGCGCATATCGGACCGTAACTTCCTGATTTATTTCCCCTGTTTGTACGAAAAATCACGTTTTTTGGCTTGTGGACCCTATAGAGGTCATAATTTTTATCCGATTGAAAAAACCGTTTTAGTATATCATCCTTACACCCTAAGGATGGATGAGCTTTAATTTCGTGAAAATCGGCCCAAAACTGACAGATAAAATTGCCGCCCCTCGTTCTCAAATAGCGTAAAAATATGGTATATCAAGGTTGTGGACCCTATAGAGGTCACAATGTTTATCCGATTTTGTTGAAACTTAAAATGTAAGTTTATAACCCAAAGATCTCGGTTCTGTTCGATATTCGCGTATATCGGCCCAAAACTGACAGACAAAATGGTCGCCCTTCGTTCTCAAATAGCGTAAAAATATGGTATTTCAAGGCTGTGGACCCTATAGAGGTCACTATTTTTATCCGATTTTGTTGAAACTTGAAATGTAAGTTTATAACCCAAAGATCACGGTTCCTTTCGATATTTGCGCATATCGAATTGTAATTTTCTGAATTATGGCCCTTGATTGTACGAAAAATCACTTTCTTTTTAGCTTGTTCTCTATCCATCTCTCGAAAATGTGGGCGTATAGAGGTCATAATTTTTATCCGATTTAAAAAACCGTTTTAGTATATCATCGTTACACCCTAAGGATGGATGAGTTTTAATTTCGTGAAAAACTGACAGACAAAATGGCCGCGTCTCGTTCTCAAATAGCGTAAAAAATATGGTATATCAAGGTTGTGGAATCTATATAGGTCACAATTTTTATCCGATTTTGTTGAAACTTGAAATGTAAGTTTATAACCCAAAGATCCCGATTCCTTTCGATATTTGCGCATATCGAATTGTAATTTCCTAAATTATGGCCCTTGATTGTACGAAAAATCACTTTCTTTTTAGCTTGTTCTCTACCCATCTCTCGAAAATGTGGGCGTATCCTGCCTGGCAGCCGCGAGTAACTATTATAGTGAGAACTGCCAGCCCTTTATCTAATCTCCCATAATGTATCTTTGAAGGTGATGATTAACTAAATTCGCTCATAAAATGTACAGTGCAATATAGTGCTACAAATCAGAATCACTAATTCAAAATAATCAGCTTGACCGCATTAAGGGCTGGCACTTGCAAATGTGGATCCCATAGCTTATGATTTTTGGATTTTATTTTTGATGCCAAGTTAATCTTGCATTGGTCAATTATAATAATTATTCAAATGATCAAATCAATAGTAAATGTCCAAGAAATAATTAAGTGCGACGATGACATAAGACTACTATATCAAAGATGTTAGCGCATAACAGGTTGTTTAGTTGCAAAATGATTTATTTACAGCAATTCAGAAAAAAAACTTACTAATGTCAGGAAGAGTATACCCAAGCTTACGCAGTTTCCTGACAAATTTCTTATTCTCCAATATTTTCATCTGAAAATAAGAACAAACACGTTGAAACAAAATGGGATTATACTTCTGACTTTTCTTAACCATCTGGGCCATTGCATTGTGCTGCTGGGGAAATTATATTGGCCTACTCTTCGTCGGGTTCCAACTGTCAAGGCCCCTTTTTTTCCTGCTCGCCAATATGTTTCTTACACCAGTAACTTAAACACCCGAAGGAGCTAAATCCACAATCTTTGACATTGCAAACACGACTTACTGGTCAATTTAAATCAACATTGATGGTGTTATCTTACCGAGAAAAGATGGGCTCCTGATATCAAATATTGAAGGCAGAATGAAAAATTTAAAATTCAAGAATGCTTTCGAGTGCCAATTATTATGAGGTGACTCAATGAACGAGACTAAACATTCCCTCAAGTCAATACGGTAGTAAAATGACTGAACAACAAACGAAAACACGAACGACAAAATTATTTGCGCACCCTGAAGGAAGAAAAAAGGAATATAGCCAACAATACAGTGGGAGTAAAAGAGGAATTCGGATCAACATTCTATCGAAAAAAGATCCTTGGAATATGTTCAAATGCTGTAGGCCTATTGGTATTGGATCAATAATTATGAACGGTAAGAAAATAATTTGTGTACCCAAATAGAATAGGATCTCACATGTAATGCGGGAAAACAATTGGGGAACGCTTATAAGCTCGTGCATTGTCATGGACCCAAAAGCGGCCTTGTGCATCTGTTTCCTTGTATGACATTCAAGATATTTACACTTACCGCCGATGTTTCTTGGTGATACAACTTTTTCAGTTTCCCAACCGTGATGCACTTGTCAAAGTCAATGCCATAATTAGTGAATAATTCAATAAATGCGACACGCCTTTCTCTGGTTGCATCGAACATTAGTTTGTTCATATATGGCTATAAAAGGAAAGACACCATTTACTGTTTAGTAATCGATTTATATGTATTACACTATTTTGTTTATTGTATAGCTAAAAATAAAAATTCACAGTTTTAATTCCTAAGATGGAGCAGTTAGGGAACTGTACTATTGACTAGAATGTCGTGTGTTTGAATCGTTGTCTGTTGATACAGACATAGCTCTATGTACAAGGTTTGGAAAAATATCACAGCATGTGTAAAGAGTTATAGTCCATGCGCTAGCAAAGATTTAATCTCAAGTACAAAAGGTTTAAGGGCTGGAATTAATAATTGCGTGATCAGAACCAAAATGTTCCTTAAGATTCCCAATGACCATAAATATCCCCCTGAGTAGTCCATTTTGGGTTTTAAGTCACTTCTGTGTTGGTCAAGGGCCATATTGGTCGGCCACGTCCAATCTACTTTAAGGATAATATTGTTGACAGTCATTATCACATATGTGACAGGACTGATTATACACGTTCCAAATATGGTTGTAACACAGAGATCATTGCTACGATAGATGTGTAATGAGGATGTCAAGAAACGGAAGTGACGAAAGCAAAAGGAAAACACGAGTTACCCTTCTATATAACTGACTGAAGTGACGAGTGATAACAGATACACGAGCGAATTGCTGCTCACTAATAATTCCTTTGAAGACCAAACCTTTTTTATGTGAGATTGTGACAGGATATTTGACTATTCAAAAATACTAATTGAATGTCACTAGATAAGAGACAACGAGAAAAATAGAAATAGTCGGCACATTCCCTTGTTTTTATGCATTCTATACTTAATAAAACATGGTAATGCACGGACTTTTTCTATCATTTTCATATTCTCTCTGTTCTACAAACCTTTACTTGTTTTACATGTTTGTCTAATATATCTTCTGCTTCCATAACTGTATTCCATAGTATCGTTAACCGTAACGTATCCTTGTGTTCCATATTCTTTTGTTCTCCAGCATACTTACCTAGATAGAATACGTAAATGCAGAGAAACAGGGTATAAGAATTTTTTGAAAATTCAAGAACTAACACACCGTTATGTACTCTGTAACGCTTAACTAAGATATTGACGAATTCAGTACGACAACACGCAATGGCGTACATTTTATGTGACCAATTACTAAAATGACACTTGGCCAAGAACAATACGATTTTTGAACCACCTGGACTTCTCAAGTAAACGCCACATCAGGCGTTCTAGAATGAGATCTAAAGTAAGCAAACAAAGTTTGCCGATGTCAAGACAGATGAATTAGAAGGAAGTGGCGAACCAAAATACAATGATTCAACCATAGGAGTCTGAATGGCCGCTCCTTCTACGTAAATACATACATACACCATACACTACTAGACAGGAAATGAGATGAAAATATTAGCTGCTTTAACATATGTATTATCGGTTTGGGGTGGGACATGCAAACGACAAGGTACAGTTCCCTGTGAAGCCTTTATTCATCTACCACTGTCAAGGGGGAAACCACGCCGGAAAATCTCAAAGAATTTTCTAGGTCAACACCGCGAGGTAACCCAAGACCATCCGGTTAGCGAGTCAGCGCGTTATTCACCGAACTATCAGTACAAAAGCAAAAGAGTGGGGCACTCGCCTTTTAATATTGAATCCTTTACAACACTTCCAATGTCCTTTTGATGCACATCCAAACATGTAATCAAGTCCATATTCTTAAATAACATTTCAATATGAGGTTCCAACCAATCTAACTTGAGCTCCAGAATCTTTTGCTTTCCTCTAATCAAGACAAATGGAATTTGGTAATTAATCGTGATGATACTGTAGCTTAGAAATACATTTGAGGATATTGTCAAAAGACCAACGACATATTGGGGTATATATAACGTGTATCAAGCAGCTATATGCAACATCATAGTTACACGTGAGGATAGATATTCTGCTTTATTCTTTATTGTCTCTTGCCAGATATTGAGTCATTTTTATACGAACACATTTTCATGTGGACGTATATTGTCGTCGCCCCTGTCAGTCCACAATTTTTTGTGGGCACTCTTCAGATCACAATTCTCACCCCACTTGCAATTTAGCCTTATCTCCTAAAGATCTCGGTCATTTCGATATTGGCATGTATCGGATCGAAACTTCATGGATATGGCCCCTGATTGTACTAAAAATCACGTTTTTTAGTTTGTGGACACTCTAGAGGTCACAATTTTTATCCAATTTAGATAACACTTCAAAAGTATGTTTATAACCCAAAGGTCTCGGTTCCTTTCGATATACGCGCATATTGTATTATGCCCCCCCCCCCCGATTATACGAAAAATCGCGCTTGTGGTCCCGAAATGACCTAGTTTGTGTCGAGTGGCCGCTCCTTCCACGTAAATAGTGTGAAAGTATGTAATACCAAGGTTTTGGACCCTCTAGAGGTCAGAATTTGTATCGGATAATGATAATGCTTAAAATATAGGTTTATAGAGATTCGATTCATTTTGATATTCATAACGGACCATTACTGACTGGATTATGTCCCTTGATTGTACTAAAAATCGCCTTTGTTAGCTTGTTTTCTGTCCATCTCTTGCAAAATGTGGGCGTATCTTGCGTGGCAAGCGTTTGTTAATAATGTCATCTGATAACCCGTATGAAACTAACATACGTTTATTACTACAGTTACGAGCAATGATAATTTTACCCGTATATCTGCATTTCCGTCAATTCTTTTCTGATTTCCAACTCCATTGCGTATACGACAGAAAAGGGAGGTACCAGTGACAAGTGAAGACCTGGCTTGGTGAATAGGCTCCATTTACCTGTCCGCTCGACTACCACATGACAAGGAGGGGAGGGGTTTGGATGGCCGAATGGTGCACATTGTATCATCAGGTCAGTCATTGAGTCAACTGGCGTGGATTCGATTCCCCGTTTGTACGTGACATGGATCGCATGTCCAACCTCGTGGCTTTTCTCCCAGTCCTCCGGTTTCCTTCCACTGCTAAAGAATACCTGCGTGCAAAAGAATTATTGAAATAAAACTGAACCATATGTTAGTCCCTCCTGGTTTGTGTCGAGTGGACGTTAAACCACATTTCTCTTACACACACCACATGCCAAGGGTTATCATACGTTAATTTTGTAAGATTCGTACATTTTATTCATAATATTGAAAGTGTATAGAGAGCATTGACAAAGCGCTTACTTATCTTTGTCTTTTTCCCCTAAAGCAGCTGCCAGTATACCACATATGTCTTCTTTGTCTTGGGTCACATTTGTCGACCCATTCTCCCTATTCTGAGCCGCAGTTTTCGGTCTATTCTTTTTGTTTGGAGCCGCAGTGTCCGGTCTAATCCCTTTGTCATGAACCCCCTGCAATAAAACGGAGATCTTACAATTCAAAGTACCTAATACACACCTACATTTGAATATTCTAGAGGTATTGGTGTAATGAAACTTAATTAGAATCAAAGTTATCGAGCTCCTAAGTCTCGGCCATTATCGAAATTAATCAAGGTATTGATATAATGAAACTATATACCAAGTTTCATCACTCTCACTTAACAAACGTCATCATTTCCCAAAGCATCAACCAATCAAATATTTTATCTCTACTAAGCCTAAGCATTAAACATTAACTTTAACTCAATTAGAAGAAGAGCCATTGTGTCCCAAATAGTGTGACGAACGGCGGGGGACAAATAAATATTTTGTGAAAAAAATTATTGGATTTAAACGCGACGACAGAGAGATGTTCTTTAAAATATTGGAGTATTATAGCATAAAACGACACCAACCTTTATTAATATTATTGGCGACTTTTTGTCGATGGCTTTTAATATTGCACCAATAACACCAGGCTCCAATTGTAGAACGAACAACAATAATGGAATTCTCTTAGACAAACGGTTATCTGAAGAAAAAAGAATAAGTTGCCAGTTAACGAAACATGCCCGCAGTACTTAAGGCGCCCGAGCAGTCCACAAGGTTAAATACTTTAACGCTATAATATTGCTGAAATTTAATGTGCTTTTTCGTTTAATTAATTTAATAAGTACATATACATTTTCATACAGATCCAATAACTTATTTCGTCGTAAAGCATTCACAAGGTTCGATGGAGTGACAGAAATAATTAATGGAAATTGTTAAAATTCAATATATAGGCTTTGTCGGACCAATAAGGTAAACAACATATATAAATTTTCATACATAAGCTACAGAGAGTGAGAGAGAGAGAGAGTTGTCCAATCAGAAGAGCTCAGATGGTGCCAGGGTGGTATCCCTTTACGTGGCAATACAAGAATTGAAAAAAATATACCCAGGCCTTTCTTCAATTTGAAAAGAAATTCTGTTCTCTGTTTTACAATTTCAGCATCTGTCATAACTTTTGTACCATTAGTATCGACATCATTATCCCCAGCATTTACTCGACTTGCTTCTTCTTTACCATTTACTTCTTTGATATTTTCATCATTAAAATCTGTTTCTTCTGTGATATTTTCGTCGTCATTTGTATCTTCTGTAACATCGTCATTTGCAACATCTACATCATTCTCACGTTCAGTACCACATTCAACATCAGTTTCCCCTTTGGCATAATCTTCCGAATCAGTTTCACCATAGTCCGTATCAGACTCATAATCATAGACGTCACTGTTTTCATCATAGCCGTCACTATTTTCTTCATAACCGTCACTATTTTCATCATTGCCGCACTCCTTTTCATCAACTTTTGGTTCATTTATTTCCTTATTATTGTTAGGTTTTGTTTTGTTTATTTCGTTTGTCTCGTTAGATTTTGAATCATTTATTCCCTTTATCTTGTTAGATTTTGCTTCTTCTTTTTCATTTGACTTGTTGGATGTTGATTCATTATTTTCGTTTGTCTTGTCAGGTGTTTGTTCATCTGTCTTCTTTGATTTTGGATCTTTTGTACTTTCATCGCCTTTTTTTGTACTTTCGTCGTCCAGGAATAAAAAGTGAGTATGGGTTCGATCAAGGAATGGAATACCGTCTTTCGGCTATCAATATAGAATGAAAATGAGCTTAATTACATACAGTTTATATATATTATTACATACCTGAAACAAACCTTAATTTCATCTTTTCAGGTGTACATACTATTTATACCTGATTAATATTGATTGTTGCAAGTGCGAATGCTGGGAGCGCGAGAGACAGAGATGGGGTGCGCGGAAAAAAAGTCACAGTAAAAAAGTCACAAATTTGCCTAGGTAAAAAAAAACACAGGAAAAAAAGTCACAGTTTTTTATTACATCTCAAATTCAATAACAATATAAACAATAACATACATATTTAACCTTTCATTACACAGATGTAACTAGACTGTTTTAGTCTTTAGAAATCAGCACATTTTGATATCATAGCACATTTGATGTATTAGCACATACGGCATATCAGCACATCTGACATTTTAATACATTATAGCATATTTGACATATCAATACATCAGACATTTTAGCACATTCTAGCTCATTCAACATTCTAGCACATCAATACTCTTTGTTAATACTAATGTTCCTTCCAACTCCATGTAAGAATTCTGGGATGGATTTAGCACCGCAAAGATTTCGTAGTTGTGTCTGTATTTTACAAACTCTACAATACAATATATATCAGTTGTGACTTTTTTACCTGTGTTTTTTTTACTGTGACTTTTTTACCTGTGACTTTTTTTCCTAGATTCCTCCTTGTCACGTACAAGATGGGAACCAAACCACGCCACTTGACTCAATGACACACGTTAACCATTCCGAACCAGCCACCAACTGGTGATCGTTGGAGCAATATAACACAATATGTGTTGATGGTTTTTGCCATTAAATACGACAGTATAAAAGTACAGTCTTAAATCATTGAATCATGGATGGATTTGAAAAGAAGTCTGCGAGGACAGTTGGCTCGGGGCCCTCAATAAGTTAGTATTCTCGCGTAGAGGCCCTTTGTAGCCTTGAATGTATTCTTGATATTATTTGTTTGATGATTTGCTGTCTTTTGGGGTTTGGTACACAGGATGTAGAATCCCTTAAGTGGGGTCCCTAGTGGAACCAGACTCGCTGGTCTCCTGCCCATAGTTTGTCCCTGCTCTGAATGCTCAAATTGTTTAGTATCTTCTGTGTCATAGTGGAACGTAAAGTTGATGTAATTCGTTTCATATAATTGAAGGAACGGCATGGTTAAAAATAGCAACAGAATGAAGTATGTGGTTGTTTGAAAATAATTCTGTAATCTAACGTCCTAAGGGGCCATGGGTAATCCACCAAGAATATGTTTATGACCGCAGACACCGCACCTTCTCTCCCGTAGAATTTAAATTTTGCCAACCCAAGCCACTGCAAACAACCATCCCATACTAGAGATCAACAGAAGTATTTCGACCAAAGATCAACTGTGTTTGATCCTGGTTTATTCTTCCACTAAACATTTGCACAAGGGGTGATAGATAGCTCTGTACAAGTATATGTGAGTGTACTTACCTCCTCGGAAAAAAGTAGTTTTTCCTTGTGTTTAGTCACAAATTGGCTCCAGGGGATTACACCAATAAGTCGAGATGACTTTGAGAAAGGGTCCCCTGTTAACATGGTTCCTTTCAAAGCTTTAACTATATGATTCAAAGCACCCTTGCCAGACGTAGTTCCATCTGTTACCACCCACATATCTAAACATACAAATACATACATATTAGTACAGCAGCAATCTATCAGATAATTTATTAACTTTCCTAATGTAAGTTAGTTCTTTCACTTCATTAACATGCATCGCACATTGTTGAAATATGTACCATTTTCAAGTAAAGACTGTGTTTAATTTGTACTAAAAAATGCCTTCATAAAACACTGGCGTGGGCAGATGGGCGGCCCTGATCATTCTTTTCAGGGAGGCGGGGGGGGGGGTCATTCAATCGTAAGGGAAATTTACGATTAAATGTTATGCAATTCGAATGTTTTTCGTTTAACATTGTTGTGCAAGTTGACGTACTTAATTTGAGTAAAGAGTCTTTTTCATCCGTATTTATACATTTGAAATATCTTCCTGTCTCAGAGTAACCAGCTGCGGCGGTCTTTTAATGATTAGGAAAACTTGTTGCTTAACATAAATATTCCTTAAAAGGGCGTCTTTTGGAGATTTTACCTTGCACAGCCACAAGTTTCATTAAAAACAACGCGTTTGAAAGGTGTGCAGTATCAAAAGGTAGGCCGAATGTACAAGCGACAGGGAAATGAAATGAAATGGGGGGTTAACGTCCTACTGTTCTGCTCCGACTTGGCTAATGAAGACGGGCATACGTCATACACTGTGCCATGAGGGGAATTTTGCCTGGACAGCGGTGCTACGGCATACTCTTATATAGAATTTAAAGTGCCAAGCGATCTTTTTTACGTACTCGCAAAAGTGTAGCCTAGACGGGATCTCGGTTTTTCTTCAACACCGTTGTATTCAGTTCGCCGACCACACTTCATGGCAAAGTCTGTGTCGAGTGGACGTTAAACCCCATTTCTCTCTCTCTCTCTCTCTCTCTCTCTTACTTCAGAAATACTATATGTATTACATTTGTGAAGCTAATACAAAGTAAATCCTACCTAGCTTTTCTACCAAGTCAGTAAGTCCCATGCAAAATCCTTTAGGTACTTCCGTCTTTGAATTATTTCCACCAACAAAGGCAATAATAAATCTAGGTTTAGGTAGCTTCCATATATCCAATAGAAGGTCGACTGTTTTGTCCATTTGTTCTCTATCGATACGGACATACTGAAATATTAAAATGGTATGCTTGTTACAGTCGTTAGCATATAGGTGTATCTTGATAATTGATCGTCTCTCCTAGTGAATGGAGTAACCTTATCGATTTTTCAATAATACTCTCTGGATTTATTCCCCTTTGTTACGAAATCTTGTTAGCACACTGGAGGCTTCAATTATAACCTAATATTGATTTTCTATCCTGTTGAACGGAAGAATCCTATTGATTTGTAAGTATATAGTACGGAATCATATTGTTATAAATTTCATGTCCGTCGTACAGCAATTCGCATGTCTTGTTTGTGCATTAATTACTAGTAAACAAATCCATATAGGGTTTTTTTTGTAATGTATGATTGGGTGGCCGAATGGTCTAACGCGATGCTGAGTCAAGTGGCGTGTTTTACATCCCACACTTGTACGTGGCAGGAGATGGATTGTCTGTCTAACCCTGTGGGTTTTCACCGGGTCCCCTCCACCACAGCTAAATACTCCTCCACACAAGCCGATTATTGAAATTAATTTGTACCCGTTGTAATTCGATATAAGAGTAGGTCATGGTGCCGCTGCCCGGGCAAAAATTCCCTCATTACACACCTGTATGGCGTATGCTCGTCTTCAGTAGCCCAGTCGGACATTAAACCCCATTTCATTTTATTTCTTTTACGTAAACACCTACGTATACACAGGATCTCGGCTTTCTGTCCCATCCCAAAAACTAAGCACTGTCCTTGTCAGACATCCCACCCCGTTCTACTCACTTAGCCACCGTAGCTCCCATTATGAACCTTTCAGACATTTATATTGGCTGTCTGTCTCTCCTGTTGAAAAGAAAATCCGATTGATGCCTATCTAAACCGTAGACTGCAGCATGCATCATATAGGCTTGGTTGGTACACAGTTACAATGTTGTAATGACTAGAAAACAACTATCAACTCAAATAGTTTCATATGCCTACAATAAATCAAAATTGCCAGCAACCCTTTGATGTTAACATCAGCGATCATCTGCCTGCTGTCGTCCAAATGTACCTAATAATAGAAGCTACTTTAAAGTAAGCGCTTGTTGAAGTATCCATTAAGATGTTAGTTCATTCTATTCTAAAGTAAGGTTACTTATAATTATTTTCTAGAATCAGTTGAATTTGAGAGTGAATACCTGGATTGGCGCGTTGAAGGGGTTTTACTGTAAACAATATACAAATACTTGATTCAAAGCTTAGTTGTGTCAGAACTGGCACTAGCTGCTCGGACTCTTTACAAAAAGAGCTTTCAAACCCGTACTCGCAATTCAAATGCGTGTGTTACCTTTGTTTTATGATTGCCCGTCTTCTCCACACCAAACACGTCACACGGGTACTGCCTCGGGTGGACTTTTTCTGGAAGTTTACATCTACATGCTTTTTCCTCTCTATAAAAAATAATAATAATAAACATAGCCACGCAAAATGGAAATGCACCAACAAAGCCGCTTTGTCTCCTAAAACATAGCCATGGACAGCAGTTATTCTGAAAATTAAATTTGGATGTCAAATTTTATAGGAATCCTTTGTACCGTCATGAAATCCTATTTCTGCCGTGCCACGCGATATTTGGACCAGGAAGTCCTAGAACACTAAACATCAACAGTTTTTCACTCTTGGTTCCAAATATCACAGTCATTATACTTCACGCCAAATTTGAAAAAGAAAATCGGTTCCAATCTGTAGCATGTTACGTTAACAAGATTATCGGCAAAGGGAGTACCTATAACAAGAAAAGTCATTAAGGGTTCTTCGTCTCCAGTCCTCATTGTTTCGCACCAGACTGTATACTCTATTTACGTTAGCCACGTTTTCGGAGAAGCGGGAGGGGGGGGGGGGTCGGTACGCAAGATCGCCGAACGTTGAATATCAAGAGAGCTCTTCTTACCAAGACCCAAATGTTTCACACCAAATTTGAAGGAAATGAACAAAACCAAAGCTGTAGACTCCACAGCGTTAACAATATTTCGACAAAAGGAGAGAAAATCCAGAACGGAAGCTCGGGAGCGCTGAATATTGATAGAGTTCGCCCTGCCATCGGCAGATCTTTGGATCTAATGGTATCAGCTGTATCACAGTTACCGAATTCATCTACTCTTGCCCCGGTGCACCCTGGAATCTATAGGGTCGATTGGTAAGAGAAACCCGGTATCTAATGAGCAAAACCAGTCCGGGGATAAATAGTTTACATCAATTGCTGTATACTCTTGCATACCACATAATACCACTTACGGTTCATGTTTGGGACAGGTTAACTTTATGTTTGCCTGGATCCATCTGCCGTCAGATTCTTCCTCTTGCTGTTCCTGATAATACATAACAATTAGAACATGAACTACAACTTTGAGAATAGGTATTTGATTGAAAGTTTGCTTTCTATTCGTGTAGAGTTAATTGGAGACATGCCACACTATAGCAAATTGGTTATTAGTTCCTACCCACCCATCCAAACCACACATACATTTCCCAAATGACACATTGACCACAAAAGCTATTTTATTTATTAAAAAAAGAATTAAAAAAGAAAAATTACCTGATATGATTTTGGCCAAAATCGTTCTAGTCTGTACATCTTCATATACTACATTATTTACTTGCCTAAAAGTAAACTATTTAGTGATTATTTTGTCAATAAACAATATCGATTAATGATATCTAAATGTTGTTTACCTAAAGAGCTTAAATAATATTATTTGTTTATAGCTGTCTCGAGTAACATCACCATATGTTTGGCGCAATATAACCCGGCTGGAGTTGACGTGCCTTAAACAATATTTCATTCATTAATTCCCATCTATGTTACAATTATACTTCTAGGCATGCAGCCACAATTTCTAGCTTAATTGTTTAATTGATTTTTTATGTCACCCCCTCCCCCCACGCCTGCGAAAATGAGTTTGTGCGCCCCTGATTACTGCTATTGCTGCGAAGTTCATTGCTGGAAATTTAACTTAAAATCTTCTTTGACATACAGACAGACCTGTGGAAACACGAAGACAATGACGAAAACTACAACCAGAACTGCGATTCAGTACTGACGTGTTTCGGTGAAACGTCATACTGTTCTGCTCCTATATGGGCTAATAAAGACGGGCATTCGCCATACACTGTGTTATGACGGAAATTTTGCCCAGGCAGCAGCACTATGGTCTACTCTTATAGCGAATTCCAACTGCCAAAGGATCATTTAAGTGCACGCCAATGTATACACGGGACCTCGGATTTTCGTCCCATCCGAACGAGTAGACAGCTGTCCTTGTCAGGCCCTCCGTCCTACAACACTGACAAGGGGAAACCATGTCGGTATTCTTGCAGCAATATTCATAATAGAAAGTAAATAAAATACTACCTGAGACCCGCATTAACAGTTGCAAACAAACTGCTTACTAAACACAATCGTCATATTATGTTGCTTAGCTTTGTTTTCTCGTTGTCATAAACAATATTCCAAACAGAAAAAAACATTTCTGTGAAATCGAATTGGGACACTTTCAGTTTCGATACGCATTCAGCCCATTATATGGGTAATGGTTTGGATTTGAATGACGTCGTCGATGATTATGCACGTGGATAATGGCAAATTCGTATTGAAGAGAATGACAGCCACCCCTCCATCGATGGTCTCCGTTATTTATTGGTGGGACAGCGATATAGTCAAAGATTGCATCCATCAAATAACTATTTTTTTTAACCATGACAGCACGTAACATTAAGTTTCTTGGAATCAAAGCAAATGTAATATTGTAGTCATGAATAGCATCGTTATTGATTGGCAGCACACAACTATACTATTCAAAACCTATATTCTTGGAAAACCTATTTTCACTTTGTCAACGCGTGACTTTTCAAGTCGGGCGAGCATTGATGTAAATAAAAAATAGTATAGATGGTGTATCAAGTTATACAATATACTTAAATTTGTTGAACGCCACCATTATGAACTCATGTGATTTTTATACGCCCACAAGCAGATTGGGCTTATACAGTCGCCACCCTGCCAACAATTGGCTTATGAACGCGGCTACGGAGTTTGACGGGTCATTTTTTAAATTATGGGGCAGCATTGGGGTCAGGAGAGGACAATCACTATCGATAATCAGTGTTCCGCGATTTTCTTTGCCGAAGGAGGGTTGGATGGCAGAAAGGTTAGCTAGTGCACGCTGTATCATAAGGTCTGTCATTGAGTCAACTGGCGTGGTTTCGATTTCTCGGTTGTACGTGACAAGGAGTAGGGTCGCCTGTCCAACCTCGTGGGTTTTCTTCGGGCCCTCCGGTTGTAATACTATATACACTGTAGAGGTTATTTCAGTACTCTAGAAAAGTGGACACCCGCCATCAGGTCCTCCCCCTTGGTGCCCATATAAGAGCATTGTGTTTGAATTCTAATCCAGGGTAGTTTCTATGCAACTGCGCAATCAGACAAAGGGAGTGCCTGGCCAATTTCCCGGGGGTCAGTATATGACTCATGCACGTATCCTCTTTACATGGAACGTGCGAGGTTTACGTTTTAGACATCACTAGGTGTTCCTAGGAAGACATCCTCCGGCGCTCCCAACTGCTCGGCTCAGAGGCCGACGCGCTAAGGGATAGGGAACTTATATTTAACTCATAATGTACTATCATAGATGTCATGATTTCCTGTATATCATATATAGACACAGTTATAAAAACATTGTGTTCCAGAGTTCACTGATCTCAGCGTAAAGTCCTATCGAGACGAAAGAGAGTGTCCTTGGTCGGTTTCTAGGGACTGCGGACAGGATAGTGCCACAGTGCCGCTTTTCACACGGTTTCCTCCCACTGCTAAAGACCCCTACCGGCAAGCGAATTATTGAAATAATACTGAACCATATGTTAGTCCCGAAATGACCTAGATTGTGTCGAGTGGACGTTAAACCCCATTTCTCTCCCTATCTCCTTTTTGCCGAAAACCTTGGCAACGCGATAGCGGCTATAATTGTTAATGAATCATTTGAAACTGGTGGGAAGCATTGATGGCCCCAATCATTTAACAAATCTATTAAAAAAATAATGTTTCCATCGCGTTCACATATTTTTGTCTTTTTTTAGAAAAGAGGACATTAACTCAGAAACGACAGATTTATCTTCTAATGACCTCTGTCCTTTCAACTAAATTCTCTATAGCGTTCACAAGGCTATTATTGGTCATAAATAGGCATCTCTCAGTCCTAGTATATGATTAAAGAGGGTGTCGTTGAGACTCTGTACGTGAGGGGCTAGCTCCTAACAAGGAGGTCTTGGGTTCGCTCCGAGGTATTGGTCGAGAAAGGTTCTCGGGATTTCCCCGCGCCGTTTCCAATTGTCATTGGTGCAGGACAGAGGACATGTTTTGGCAATCGAATGGGAAGAAAAGCCTACCTCCCGTACACACAAGAGACCCCTTTGACAGTCGGAATTGAAATTAAGTTTAGGCCATGATGTATGCTCATCTTCATTAGCCCAGTCTGTACAGAAAAGTAGAACCTTTTACACCATTTCATTTCATTACATTTATGACTTAAAGGGTGTAGTTTGGTGTTCCTATGGTTCGAGGCAAGATAAACTGACAGTTCGTCTCCTATAGCGTGATTCACGTATATTCTATCAGCAACTCCTTGATTCCTAACCCCAACTCCTAAATACACCCCATGTGCAAATTAAATTTATATATTAAAATACAATTATACTTGTTGAATGTATGAATCAAAATACATAATAAATATCAATTGAAGTAATTTTTCCATTAAAATCCAAATCTGCTAGTGAGCCAATGAACCTCCTACAATACCTGGAGAAAGCACTTTTCAGGATCTGTCAACATCATCTCTCTCTCTATCTAAATGGCAACCCTTTAACGGTGGGATTCTGAAAGACGGTCTCCCTATACTATTAGTATGTGACCACTCATGTCACTCACTCTTTACCTGTATAAATCGGGTAAAAATGTCTTTACTCCTCTTCAAAACGGCTAAACATTAAGAGAAACTTTTTTTTGCGCCAAATTAGGCCCATATAGGTGAGCAAATACTGAAAATTAAGAGGAATATCGGTTGACCTGGATGGTTTTGTCAATGAAGGGACCGGGAAGGAAATGATTTGTTTTATGAAGGCCACACAACAAAACACATTGTTAACGTGCTTAGTGTCGGCTTTGAAGTATTGAATTCAATTACGCCGGTTTGGGAACGAAATTCTTTACACGAAATCAACAAAAGGCGACTGTTCAATATTAAACATACATTATGCAAGAGCTAAATCTGCCTATTACAGCTCTTTCTTTAGGCCTGAAATGTTTCCTAAATTATTAATTAGACATTGATTAAATGGTCCAGGCCATAATCAACCCTCGATGACATCGGATTGCTCCGATATTAAATAGATTAAAATGGTTCAGACATATTTTGATTCACACGTCTTGTCAAACCTCAAAAGGCTAATATCTTCGCTCGCAATAGAGTAATTTCAACGACATTGTAAAATTATTCATTTTACATGATCTTGTCAAACCTTCAAAGGCTAATATCTTCGCTCGCAATAGAGTAATTTGAATGAAATTTTCAATTATTCATTTTACATGATCTATTATCGAACTATTATAGCAAGAATGGCTAGCCCTTTATCTAAATCTTACATAATGTATCTTTAAACTGTTTTTCGTCATCTATTGAACTAATACTAATAGAAACAATAGTTTAAGCATTACTTTACAAATAACTTAGCTTAATTACAAACCCACGTGTCGGCGATTCTTTAAAGGGGTATTACTATGCAAATATAGTAACGTAATTATGAACTCGCGTGTCAGCAATTCTTTAAAGCGTAATATTCAAACAGTCTAGAATTCATAAAGCAGGCGAAAACGTCGATTTGGACAGTTCACGTATTTCAACGAATAAAATTGATTAGACATGTCAATAATTTTACTTAAAAAATGATGTGACAAAGTACTCTATAACTCTCATCAAATTGAACGATCATTTAGGTGCATAGAACTTATTGACCTAAGCTGCTTTTGATAATATATTATACTGATTTTCAAACTCTGTATATACTTCTGTTAATGCACGAACTACTTATGATCTAATTAAACATGTAATTAATCCCATATGGCATTTACAAACTACATATGATCTGTGTACAAGCTCTTCATGACTTCAGTGCAATTACAGATACCATAATCTGATAAATAAACAATATCATGATGATCACTCTTATACATTTTTTTTTACCTAATTGTTGGGCGCTATATAGCAGGAGTTTACTGACAGTAAGTCAGACCTGGAATAGAGCTCCTCCCGAATTATCTGTAGTGTTACAGACATCAGAATGGTGCTCATGAATCAGACACAACGTATGACCAGTCCTGTGTTAGACGCCAGTATTCTCACCTTAAGCTAGACGTTGAAAGGGTACGTTAGCTTTTGTCTTTGTTAATTTTCGATCATGGCTGAACATCCTGAAGTTGCAACTTTATTTCAGAATTTAACTGGGGAATTAAGTGGGCTGTCTACAACTCTAAAACATCATGTTCTTTCTAATTTAGTTGAATCATTTTCGGATGGGGGGGGGCTAAAAATGTTGAAACCTGGATAAGAAGTATTGATAAATGTTCCTTTTTGGCCGAAATTGCTACAGATAAGGTTAAATATGTGGCTTATCAATCCAGTAAATATGGGCGATTTTTTTCTGAAAATGTTCAAGTATAAGCTGAACGTTTACGTTTAATTTCTTTGGTTAAAAAAGCACATAATTCTGCTGAAATTGTTAGATGATCATTTAAAAATGACAATCCGAAAACTTCACAAAGAAGCCACAGTTTCACGAGTTCGGCCGCTGCCTTTGCAGAGGGGCGGAATGGTGGATTTAATATAGTTATTACCGTCCTGATGTGTTGCTGTCTTAGTCTAGTTTCTGTATATTAGTTTAAGTTCCTGTATTGTTTTGTATGTTGATGTGTTTTATTCTGTTCCGATGTAACTAAACCCTATCACACTGATCAGAAGTAATATTCGCTAGGCCGCGACAATCACTGATAAGCATGACATCGATGCGACTTAATGAGCCACAAATATTAACTTTTTTCCTCCGACAAATTAAATTCTAAAACATTTTTTTTTATGTATTAGAAAAATAAATAAAGTCTTTTGACGTATTTGTAGGTAAAAATTATTTCCTATTTAGTGTAAATGGGGATTAAAATGAGTAAAAGACTCCATTCCGCCCGAACTAGTAACGCCTTATGTTAACAATGCACGCGCCATAAAGCCAATGATTGACGCCGCGTGATGATGCCTACTCTACGATATGTGCCCCTGTGCACCATCCGTCATGCTCAAGTAAAAGCGACCCGACACCATGTTCCTTTAATGAACTGCTCGGTGCCGTGCTAGTCACACAGCCTTATTGTCGCGTGACAGGAAAGGTGGCCTGATATTATGAACAATTCTGTAGGATGGGGGTGGGGCGGTAACCGTTCCCTTTCAACATTAAGCCAGGCATTTTAACCCAATTCCGCATCCTCGCACGGTTTATGATCGGACTAGACATA